CCTCAGGAAGGTGTGCCATGACTATAAAGTAAATCATCATAGTTTAGCTATGATAGTTCTTCGTTATTTCAATAAGCTAAGCGCGCTGTCCATAGGGAGGATACACGGAGAAGCCCTCCGCTTTGGCGTACACGTTCAACTTTTGGTCCCTCTGCTCGACGTTCATCTAGTAAGGCAGATGAATAGTAGCTTGCAAACGTTCAGACCTCACGTGTGTGTTTAGCTTCTCACATCACAGAGTGACCATACCGCCTCCCGGATGGATCAACACGGCTCATCGTCAGGGTGTCAAAATGCTCGGCACTTTGTTCGTCCTCACAGTCTCTGGTTATAGAGTGTCTTTCACTAACTAGCTCACACGACCAGAATATTCGAAGGAGATAGTGAACAAGACTGCCTACGACTCCTTGTGGGTCGTCTTCCTCAATCGTCCACGGGACCAGCGGTGGCTTGCCAGGATAATTCATTTCCTGTGTCTAAGCACTATGTACGCTTGCTTGCGGACCTCGCGGTCCAGAGAGGCTTCGACGGGTACCTCCTGAATTTTGAATGTCCACTCAGGGGAGGTACCGAACAAACGCAGGCGTTGTGTACCTGGATTGCAATGCTGCAGAACGAACTGAGGTGCAAAGTTGGGCCTCATACAGAAGTCATATGGTTTGTACCGTGCCTGTCGCGCCTTTCGTTCCACTCAAACCTCTTCGTCAGGTATGACAGCGTGGTCTTAACGGGTCACCTTCGCTGGCAAGACAGACTCAATGCTCTGAACCTGCCCTTCTTTCTGCCATCAACAGGATTTTTCACAAACTATACCGTCAGTTATCTCTGTACGCCTGCTCGACGCGGATACTCACTTGCTGTTTAGTGGCCGCCCCATTACCCATCTCTCACCGCTCGATACTTCCTCAGCCTCGATCGCTCGTTGATCGAGGCAGACAGCAGCGTCCGTCCCCCGACAGCATCCAAGTCTCTGCAGAGTATCTTCGTAGGTGTTGACGTATGGGGCCGGGGCTCTCACGGCGGAGGAGGGCTTGGTTGCTACAGAGCTATTTGCCACATCGACCCGGCCTTTCTAGGGCTCAGTGTTGCCCTGTTTGGACAAGCCTGGACGTGGGAGAGCGAACAAGACAAACCTGGGTGGAGCTGGGATGAATGGTGGGCATATGAACGCAAGCTCTGGGTAGGGCCCGAGAAGGAGGGCGAGGTGGTGGAAGTCCCACCGGAGAAGGAGAAAGAATACCCCCCAGGCGTACCGAGGCCGCCTGAGCCAGTTTATGGCCCGTTCCAACCTCTTTCCGATTTCTTCGCAAGAAGGCCTCCTCCTAACCCGCTTGACCTGCCGTTCTATACGTCTTTCAGTCCGGGAGTGGGGAGATCCTGGTTCGTGCAGGGTAACAAGGTCTTGCAGACAGAGAATGGGTGGACAGACATCGATAAACAGTGCTCCCTAGGCGACATGCTCTGGCCTCGACCGACACTGTCTTGGGAGCACGTTGATCTCGGGCTGGAAGTGAAGCTACCTGAAGCAAGAGCTGTGGTGTCTATGGAGGATGCGTGGATGGGCGGAAGCTCCTTGATACTCGAGGTCACATGTGCTGGGTCAGAGTCCGAAGATGCTGCCTTCCGCTGTGTGTGGATGCCCTTTCAGTCTCTGGCCATTACAGCGAGGAAGTCGTACCGAGCTACTCTAGTATACAAGGTGGACGCCGTGGAAGGAGTCGATGTGGACATAGGGGTATCCGTCAAAACTCTTACCGAGAATATCGAGGCGACATTCGAAGTCACGCCCATATCTTCTCAACAACCTTTGACAAACGGATGGACCCAGATCGACGTGGAATTTATGCTCACTGAAGAGCGGACTCAGGACAAGGACATATCGTCTTATCTAGGTTTGATTATTGGCATCGCCTCCGAAGACCCTTCGCAAGATCTGAAAGTCCCCATCTATCTCGGCTCGTTGACAATTGCGCCGCCTCAGTCCCCTGATAACTTGCGTCGCATGGCGAAGGTCCTGTGGGCAGACTTCGAGCGTACCCAAGGACCCGACAACGCGCCGCTCTCCGGTACGCTCACTTGGGAGGTTGCCGCTGCTTTCCCTCCTGTTCGAAGTATTACCATCACCTCGCCTGAAGACCCACAGCCTGCATGGATCATGAACAACGCGCACAGCTGGATCCCGAGCTTCCTGTATTTCAACATATACGTCGAGGCTCACAAGCCGGATGGCACCGTCGTAGGTCCGGCGTCGTCGATATTCATAGGAACCAGTGGGCTGGATGGTCGAGCACGTCACTTCTATGTCAATCATAGCATATTGGAAGGTATCTCCCAGGGTCAGGAGTCCTCCCTCCGATTTTATGTACAAGGGGTCACTGTGGCAGGGGAAGTACTACCCTGGGAGCAGTGCGCTTTCGTCAACGTGAATACGTGACTTAATATTCAGATCTCGGGGAACAGTATATAAGATAATGAATAAGCGATAGATTACAGCAGGATACAGCGCTAAAATAGTAAATACCATGGTACAACAACCGTGCGATGAGTGATTATACAACTATGCGATGCTTGGATATCGAACGCGTAGACCTAGGGACTCTCTGAGGCAGCGTCCTGTGTGATCTGATCCACGAAATCCTGCACAATGTCCTTCAGCTCCCTGACCACGGAGTCACGATCCCAGCTGGACCTGTGTTGCCAGACGCAGGTCAAGCATGTGGCACGTAGCTGCTCGAGTTCCTCAATGTTAAGAGAACTGGTATTCACAATAAGGTCTTGTTTGAGACTTGAGAAAAGATTTGCGTCGACGTGGAAATCTGGAAGAGGCGGGGACACCGATCGTGCTATCTCCATAGGATCGGAGAAAGAAGGCATATCGACGATACCCCCGCTGTCAAGATGAACTGGGGGAGGTTCTTCCGTTCCAGGGACTCCATCAACAGGCATCGGACTGTGATTAAGAGCCTGCGGCGACTCTGTCGCATTCGTCTGCGCTGAGGTCTTAATGGGGGTAGAAACATCTTGAGGGGAGGGGGAAGCGAATCCATTGGTAAGAGCGTTGCCGAACTTCAACGGCCCTGGATGATCGAAGTCCATGAAACGGGGCGGAGACTCTGGTGAAGGTGGAGTCTCCAAGACAGTCCTCCGCGCTGGAGTACTAGGGGGCATTGGACTGCCGACTGCGTCGCTTTGCATCAGACTCGTGAGGGGCGGCATCGGGTCGACATCAGGGGCAAACCGCACGCCGTTAGACCGCGGCGGGGAAGAGGGGCCTACAATATCCAAAGGATCATGCTCGTCATCTTCGCTCATGGCGGTACGGGACCTCTTCGTGGCTCGGTCTCCATCGGCATCATCGCCGGACTGCTGAGGCTCCGCAGCGGCGTCATGGGCCTCGTTCGACCGCTGTCGCTTCAGCCTGCGTTCCAGGAGCAAGGGATCCGTGATAGATATTTCAAGCTGCTGACCATTGTGACGTGTACTACGCCGCACGCCTTGTGAACCAGCTCGTGAGTCCGCGCCGTTCTGCTTGGCCTCTCGCGCCTTTTCTTCTTCCCTTGCACGTCGTCTCTCATTGCGTCGTTTTCGTTCCCGAACAGCCATACGTTCGCATTCTAGGTTGAACTGGGAGTCAAACTCTTGCATGCTAACTTGAGCCGCCGTCAACATGGCCTGCGCCTTGAACAACCTGTCGGGGTCTTGATGCATCTGGACGTGAGCATTATGGACGATCTTCTCGATATCCTCCAAGAAATCTCTAGGCGTCAAATACCTTCCCTTGTATAGTTCCACATGCATCCTCTCAAGATCCATGTCGAACAGCTGCGGCTGATATTGAGCTATCTGCGGCCCCGCAGACACGTCGTTCTCGGTGCGCGATTCAACAACTTCGGTTTGCTCTGTTCGAACCACTGATCCGTCTTCACCCTGGACTTCCACTGTCTTCGTCACGGTTTGGGTATGATCAGTAACTTGGATGTCCGGCAATGCAACCTGGCTTAAATCATACTCGTCCTGTACTTTGGCATGAACAAAGTGACTGCAGAACACGGAGACAAACCCACCGTCGCTCTCTTGGTAAAGCGCTTGAACTTCCGTTTCAGTTCTGTTAGAATAGGCCCTAGCCGATACTTGAGAAGAGTGATAATCTTCTGATCATTCTCTTCCTGCAGAGCAAGTTCAGCAGCCGATGGCTGTCTTGGTTGTAAGGGAGGAGCGACAGGCAACTCCTCCAGTACCCGCTTCTTGCGCTTGACGCCGTCAGGGAACTGGTTGGGAGGCCGACGGATATCGTCGAGTAGCGCCTTAAAGAATGCCTCTCGTTTATCCTCGCTCGGTCGTGACAATTGTACTCGATTGTCCCGCGTCACCCCAAACCAAGCACGGACGTCACGAGGCAGCTCGGAGAAAGTACCATCCACAACAGCCAGCAATAGAATCGGGTCCGAGGGGGATAACGAGTCCAGCATCGCGCGCATTGTCGATCGAGCGGTTTCCGACACCGCTGCGCACCAACTCATCAGAGAAGGTACGTAGATTACCGATGGCTGAATACGCTTTGCCTCAACGAAGAGTTGGACGATGGCTGCCTCAGCGGACTGTACAGTATATTAGTTTCAGTAGTATGCGAGAATGAACTACTAACTCGTGTGGAGTCACTCATGAGATTTCCCAGATCAAGACTTTGAATATTGTATCCCTCCAGATGATGGAGGGCCGCAGCTGCGACATAAGTTTGACCCATACCGACTGGTCCATGAAGAATGACACGGGGACGGTAGACCCGGAGTGTCTCCATAGCTGGCAACCAAGTATAAGTGAACATGACCCAATGTATTGGACACAGGCTGACATTGTAGCATGAGCTCGCGCTCCAGAGCTCCATCTTCGCCTTCATCTTCATACTCGGCTTCCTCCAGAGCTGACCGCTTCTTACTGATAGGCAGCACTCGTGCGATAGCCTCCTTAACTCGGTCCATGGCATCCTGCAATAAAGGAACAAGCTGTGCCGGAAGAGGTGCAGCCGTTGACGACGCAGATCGAGCAGAAGATGGCACAATCTCTATGATAAACCAAATAAGAATTATGAGAAGCACGCGGGACATTGGAATACTTACTCTTGACAGAGATCATAAAATCCCGAAGCTCAACTTGTATTGTCTCTGGCTTCACCACTAGCCGTTCCGAAGTCTTGTAAATCTGGGGATATCGTCGCTGAACAGCATTCAACGTCGCTTCTGTACACAGCGCCTACAGATAGCAGGATGATGTACGGTCAGCGATGCATAAAAGGAGTTGCGAAGGACGGCTTCTTACCCGTAGATCTGCGCCTCCATAGCCCTTAGTAGCCTTCGCCAATCCCTTGATGTTCTCTTCCGCCTTCGCAGTATCCCAGCCTGCCCATTTCTTGGTCATAATTCTGAGGATCTTCTCCCTAGCCTCGAGCGTAGGTAAGGGGAAGTAGAACTCTCTATCGAAGCGACCCGGCCTTCGCAAAGCAGGGTCAATGGCGTCAGGACGATTGGTCGCACCAATGACCACGACTTGACCGCGGTTGTCCATTCCGTCCATCAAAGCCAGCAGGGTCGATACTATAGAAGCATGGATCTGATCCTGCTTCGAAGAACGCACCGGCGCCAGGCCGTCGATTTCGTCGAAAAAGATGATACTGGGTTGCGAATTCTTCGCTTCTTCGAAGAGTAATCGAAGCTGCCGTTCCGCTTCACCCACCCATTTAGATAAGCAATCCGCACCCTTCCGCATAAAAAACGCTAGGAAGAGGCGGCTCAGAATCAGCACATTGACAAAAAGTAACAAAGGACTCACAGATGCTACGACCATTCGTCCGGCAGCTAGCAGCCAGTGCCCGGGCAAGTAATGTCTTACCAGTTCCGGGGGGACCGTGGAACAAAACACCTCTAGGCGGGGTGACGTTGAATCGTTGGAATACTTCCGGATACAACAGAGGAAGCACAGTCATTTCCTTGAGGGAGTTGATGTCTAACAGTAACGATGAGGACGAAGGAGAAACGCTGTACGTCTGGGATAGCTTACGTTCATCCAAACCTCCCACCTCGTCGAAGGACACGTTTTGATTGACACCAAGGGGATCTGTATCAGCAAGGGCTACAGAGAACGGAGTAACGCTGAGTAAGGAGAAGAAATTACCAACGTCACAACATACCTGCATCACCGACTTTACCAAAGTTTGAAGGTGTCCCTGCCGCTGCAGCGAGATCAGTGGGAAACAAGCCCCCTCCACCTGACCCAGCTCCGCCTGCAAATGCCCCACTCAGATTAGCGGCGCCTCCTATTCCACCGAAGGGTTTCCGGGGCGTTCTCGTCGGGTGGTCGGAGTCCTTGGCAAAGCGGTGTGAAGGAGTGGATGATATTAAGATAATACGAAGCACATACCGAGTCGTCTCCACCCATGCCCATCCATCTACCAAGCTCCGCACCAGTTGCACTCCATCCTGGAGGTTTGCGACCTCCCCATCCACCGTTCCTCCTTGTATTATTTCGTGGCGCCGGACGTTTAGGGGACGGTGGCCGCATCTCTTCAAGAGGCGGGGGTATAGCGTAGTTGATCTTCGCCCTCTGCCTCAACGCATACGGTCTTCCGTCGCTCTCTCCCATGTCCAGATCACCCTCGGCATCCGCGTCCCCATCCAACTCCGGCTCTGGCTCTGGTTCGGGGCTCGTCTTCGGCGCGTCGTCAAAGGAGTCACCCGCGCTCTGCGAACCAGAGGAGCCCTGGTCGACATACCCGTCGTCGGCGTCGTCCTGGGCCACACTCCGCGTCCGCTTTCCCGACCGTGCCCGCGTCAGCCTGCGCGACTTGGACTGCTGGCGCGTCGCCGGTCCGCCCTGCTGGTGTCTGTTTTCCGCCTGCACGGGCTTTCGGCTGCGGCTCCGCGTATTGTGCCGTGCGACACCAGCCTCGCCCTCTTCGTCGCTGACGATGAACCCGGTCAGGTTCTTCGCGCCCCGAATCCGTTGACGGAGCGGGTAGCGTGGCTGCTCGTCGTCGTCCGCGTCCGCGTCCACGACCACGTCCCCTTTCGCGCCCGCATCACCCGTGGCATCGCCCAGCGGCTGCAGCCCGTCTTCTCCGTCGTATTCTCCACCGTCCTCGCTCGCGGATTCGCGATACGACTTCTTCTGGATCCGTCTGCCACGGGAAGTGAGAGCGTACTGGACGGGCTCTTCCTCTACTTCGTCCTCTTTCGGTGCCTGCACTCCGTTCATGCTCTCGTCGACCTCCATCTCGCCGCTGGACTCGTGGTATTCGGAGCCCGAGGGCGCCGTGCCCAGCGACGATGTCCTTTGGCGCGTCGATCGCAAGTTGCGGGGCATCGGAGGTAATTTGATGCGCAACTTGGGGCTGCTAGTTACGTCTTGACCAAACGTGTTAACTGGGCTGGCTGGGTTCAGTAAATCCTTGATTTCTACGGGACGCGACTGGTGAGACTGAGGATCATCGGGTTCTTGCATGGAACGCGACAGACAATAGGAGGTCGACAAGAAGCGACAATCCTAGAACACCAGTTGCAGAACACTGCAGAACAGCCGTCGAGACCTTTATTCGAGATCTTGTAGAGCCCAAGGACGTCCAAGACAGCGAGCAACGCGTGAATGAAGTGGATTTGATCAGCCTGTGTTGGCGGTGTGGCGGCATTATTTGGTCGTATTTGTGGCGCAGTGGGCGCGTCGTCCATCCGACTGCTCTCCGTCCGCATCTTCAGCGCGTTTGCCGCAAGGAAGAGTCGTCGTTCTCCCTTCAACTGCAGAGGTTTCTGTTAACAGGAGGAGTGCTTTCTGCTTCGTCGTATAGAGGGACGAAAGATCATGTAATAGGATCATTTAGCCGAGTTTTTCAGCGGGGAAAGCGATGATATTGAGCAGGCTGTCGCAGGGACGATCCAACGACGATGACGGTCGAAAGCAAGACGCGAATGTTGTGCTCAAAGCTGAACTCTGCCAATATTGCTCGAGGACGGCTTCATGGATCCGGCATCCTCCGGATTCGGCCTTCTCTATTTATCCGACGTACCCCGGCGCATGTGGGAGGTGCCTTCATAACGTTGATAGAGATGTCGTCCAGGATTTCTGAGGTTTCCGTACGTTATGGATCGTTGTTCTGAAGTTGTCTCCAACGAGTGGAGGAGATGTCCAATTGATATTCTTCACATTCAAGCATATTTCTACATTATCTCCACTGGGAGATATCCTCTCGCAATAGTCCAACACACGTCAAAGGATGATGTTTACAATTGCTACGTCCACACTCACTGCACACGTTGCTTTCGAAGGTCAAGGAGAGGCGTTTCTATTGTGGGAAGCATCACATATCTCTAAATTATCTTTGCGGCAAACGATTTGAAGAATGGGCTTTAATTCCAAGTACAAAAAGGGGCCCATGCAGAATGATAGAACTGCGCAGAATGGACCACAGAAATCTGCATAAGTAAGAGTTGTGGGCGTATGTAGGTCCCAAATTATGTAATTGTTAGGATCCAAAGGCCTTGCCAAACAATCGGCTTCTGCCGCCGGCACGGAGACGGTATACCGTGCCACCCATGATGATAACAGACGCCGACAAGGCGTATCTCGGCGAAATACATACGCTCCCTAAGGTTACAGATATCGACGTGTAGGCCGTCTCCGCGATACCCAAGGTTGTACTCTGCAAGCTCGAGGCTACCAGAGACTGCTCTTTCTTCCTGGTCTTAGGTGTTCCATAATGGCATCAGGAGGCAAAGCCGCACACTCGCTTATCAGTCCCAGAAGGTTAACGACGCTGTTTGCGTCTCTGCTGGTCGCACTGGGAGCGGGGACGAACTATGTACGTATCTGGCACCAATTACATCTGGCTGACAATGAAAGGACCCAACCATATGCCTGGTCTAGGTTTATTCTGGTGAGTGAGCTTGTTCCTACAGTACGCGCCGTAGTAGTCGGTATGCCTGTGGTGTTGCAGCTCACTCAACGTTGCCGCGAGGCCGCTCTACGCCGGCCTTATTGTAGGAGATTCCGAAAGGATGATCCTTGGGTTCCTCGCGTACACCCACGCTTCTCAGAAGCGGTCATAACATCCGACAGCTGGCTTCTCTGAGTTAGGCATTCAATTGAACTCATACGCCTCCCCTCTAGCATACGCACCGCAATTAGGCGCACGGCTAAAGATCAACCACACTCAATTGAATATAATAGGACTTGCCGGGAATGGTCGGTGTCTCTCCAGGATGCTTGTATCATGAGCGGCTCACCGGGCCTCTGCAGTTGGCGTATATAGCTCGGGCCCTATATGGGGTAGAATAGTGGATAAGAGAGGGCCACAGCCTCTTCTCATTACTTCGGCGTGCTTCCTGCTACTCGGTTACCTGGGGATTCGACGTGTGTACGATGCTGGACCAGGCGCTTACGATGGGCTTGCGTTTGCCCTCCTCGTGGCGTGCGGATATTTGACAGGCTCAGGCGGCAATGCCGGATTGTGCAGTGCAGTCAACTCGACCGCCAAAAGCTTTCCGGACGAAGCGGTGAGTCTCACACCCTCATCTGATTGAACGTCGCTTCATGTCTACTTTACCAGCGCGCAACCGCAGCAGGCATTGTACTCTCCGGCTTCGGCTTGTCGGCCTTCTTCTTCTCGACAGTGGCGCATGTAGCATTCCCAGGGAGCACATCCTCATTTCTCCTGCTTCTCGCCCTCGGTACCTCGCTACCCATGATTCTTGGCTTTTTTCTGGTTCGACCCGTACCTTTTCAGCCCGTTGAACCAGCCCATGTTTTGGAAAGCGGTGCACCAGAGGACGAAGACGTGCCTAACGTCACGGTCGAGACGATCTTCGAGCGGGAAAACAATTCTCACACGCACCTCCTCAGCCGCAGAGAGTCTCTGGAGGAACACATGCCCATTCTGGGTCATGAACAATACGCTACTGAATACGTGGTTCCGCACACATCTGATTCGGTGGAGCTCAGTCCGACTCGCGAAGAATTTCTTGGGCTGAGTAGGCATCGGTCGAGAAGTCGGTTAGCCAGTCACCGGAGTTTGAGCAGGCCAGTCGTAAAGACCGAAATGCACCAACCTAACATACACGGCAAAGCGCTGTGGACATCATCAGATTTCTGGCTAATCCTAACAATTATGTCGCTATGTACGTCTCTTGGCTTTGCTCGTGGTGTCTGCTTCCTAACGGCCTGATAGTAAGTGGAACCGGCCTGATGTGTGAGCCTCATATGTAAAGTTCGGAACGTCCATTCATTTATTGTGACAGATATCAACAATGTGGGCTCGATCTCCGAGGCCCTATCTGCGCAGGGCAATCCTGACTACGATGAAGTCGAGGCCGCTCGTCTGCAAGCGAGGCAGGTTTCGACAGTAAGCATAACGAACTGTCTAGGCCGCATTCTTGTAGGTTCGTACTGCGCTAGAATCTCTTCCATCGTTCTCCTAGCTCAAACAGCCAAGGCATGTTGGCTGATTTTGTGAAGAACCGACTACACATGCCAAGGTCCTACTGCGCGACAGTCATCTCGACGTTTTTCTTGATATCTCAGGTGTTGGTCATCTTCACTGAAGACGCACGGCAACTGTGGAAAGCAAGTGCTCTACTTGGCTTGGCCTACGGAGGGATGATGGGATTGTTTCCTATTCTTTGCATAGAATGGTTCGGGATGCGTGAGTATATCTGTTCACCAGGAGGGCTTGTTAAGACTGACCCTGTCCTCCCCCTCTGTGCTCTGACAGCTCACTTCTCTGAGAACTGGGGGTTCCTCTCTCTATCGCCCTTACTAGGCGGGAATCTCTTCTCCATCGCATTCGGTCGTAACCTAGACGCGCACGCCCCTCTCGAAGATGCCGACCAGAGGGAGACAGCGATAGTTGGTGTGGCCCTGAACCACGCAGGCCATGTTGCTAACAAAATGTCGACCCTTTTCCGACGCGGAGGCGTGCCGTCCCCACATCAGTGTTTCGAGGGCTCAGAATGCTATGTTGCTAGCCTGTACATGACCACCATCGCCTGTTCAATAGCGCTGGGACTGAGTGTCTGGGCTGGCTGGAGGGATAACAGACGGGCAAGAGAGGCGTTGAAGGAGAGGGCTGGCGGGGAAGTCATTTGGGAGGAGGAAGAGGAGGAGGCGTAATATTCTGCGATGACTTGTACTATACATGTTCGTATAGATGAATATAGGCTAGGACATAGATTGGTAGATATTTGCGGAATTCATGTTACCACGATGATCAGCGCCTAGCAAATGTTTTCCGAGGTTAAAACGTTCGTCAGCGACGTATGGCTGGACCTGTGGTCCAGCCTTGTCTCTCGCAGTGGTTGATCTCAAGGTAGCTGTGAGGTTGGGTGAGAACCCGGTGGTTAGCCCGAGTTCGGACGCGGTGCGGAGCCTGACGTGGCTGTTTGTCGTTGCTCTTAGTAGATGCAGTATGCTATTGAATCTGACTATACTGATTGCAACATGTCCCAGACGTACGAGTATAGTGTGTCTAATATTTACAACGGGTGGGCGGGATGGGTAAGCGAGAATAATGTAGCCTTGTTGCTCGAGAACGGTGTCGACTGTGGAGTTCGAGAACAATGACTCTCCTGCCATCGAGCGTCGTGGGTCTATATACTCTCCCCCGGCGGGAGTACTCTGACACCCTGTCTGGCTAAACCATACGGCTCTGTCCGGGTGTGTGCTGACGCTCGGCTGGACGCTGCTGCCGGCCTCCCTCGGCTGCGCTAGAGATCGACCGGCACCGTCACTAATCCAGCCTTGTCTCTCGCAGTGGTTGATCTCAAGGTAGCTGTGAGGTTGGGTGAGAACCCGGTGGTTAGCCCGAGTTCGGACGCGGTGCGGAGCCTGACGCTCACCCATACGGAGCAGCGGCGACCACCCGCGGCAGGCATACGCGCCGCTCACCCAACCATGGTCGTAGCTGCAACGGATCCCTGGTCCATATTTGCCAGATGGCGAGAGGATATCTGTTCGAATGCCCGAATGTATGTCTCGTACGCGAGTGATCGCCAGCGCCCGGCGAGTCGCACGATTTCTGGGTCAACTTTCTTTGCCAGGAAGAATGACGCGCCGCCAATCCGGAAGGAGTGGCCAAAAGCTGTCCCCCACCCCAGCGTGGAGAAAATGCCATTGATGCGTTTGAGTGCTGCGTCGCGCACCAGAGGGCGTATGTTGCCGTATCTGTCTCTCCACGAGAATAACGGGTCCTCCGGCCCGGCCGGTACGATCTGCGCGAGGTTTCGTAACCCTTCGAGGGGGCATACATTGATCTGTGCATTGAGGAAAACATGCTGGACTTGCCCCGGTTGCGCAGTCTTGGCCGAAGGTAAGGCTAGTCGTGCGTACGGTTGGCCAGTTAAGTCTTGCCCGAAGAAAACATCTGCTCGTTTTAGGTGCAAAGAGCCATCGAACGCCGTTCGGGATTTGACAGATACTTCGCCGAACCTCATCATTCCCCAGAACGATGAGTCGGCGGCTGCCCAGACACAGGCATCAAACGGGTCGGTGAGGTCTAGGGCAGCTTTCAAGGCAGCTAGCATCGCTAGGGTGACCGGCGGTCGTGGCGGCCGCGAACGCTTTGAGCGCTGAAGATTTGCCATACCACGCAGGGACCAGCTGATGCGTGTCATATGTTCTTCGGACAGAGGTGGGGACCAGCCCTGAGCCAGGTGCCATGCACGGACCGCTGAAAGGTATTTCTGTGCGACCTTCACAGATATTGGCTCGAACGGTGTCCCATCCGAGAATATCGGGTCGGCTGGGTCGGGGTCAGTCACAGCCCAAAGGGCAAATGAGTGTAATAGCTCGAAGGAAGCCGGTAGCCGACGGGTCTCTGGGATGGAGAACACGTCGCAGAATAGGTGGAATTTGCGTAGTCCTGCTCCATAGCTAGCCGTGTCGCGTAGCGAAGCTCTCGACGCCCGGTCTGCGAGAGCCCGTATAAGCTGATTTTCGATCGTGGAGGGCGGAGGCGTGTTTATCCCGCGCCAAAGGAAGATCCGTTCATCTGAGCGGCAATTTGGGCGCAGCGTGGATGGTGTAAGTTGTAGTTGGCGCAGCGACTCGACAGACCCCTCGGCGCCCGGTGCATGAGGGGGAATGATTCGCATTGCAATCGCTGGCCTTACAACGATACTAATTTCTCTTCTAGGTGGCTCGGCAGCAGGAGCAGCGCCTGTGTGGATGCCACTGGGAAACCACATCGGAAGCGGTCGATGTCGCCGCGCGACAGAGCATCCGTTACGTTGTCTCTGCTTGTCACGTATTCCGCGGTCAACCTCAGGCCGCGGGGTGCCAGGACCGCAAAAATGGACTTTAATATCGTGTTTGTCGCCTTGGAACGCGATCGGCCCTTGTTCACGACTGCCACGACGCCGTTGTTGTCCGAGCGGACGAGAAGATTTGATGCGCCTGGTGGCACCGCGGCGAGCAGGTTGTACTGGACGATTAGCCTGAGTCCGAGCTCGACGGCCGTTGCCTCTGCCCAACCTATATCGTGTGGCAGACCGGGTCCCACCCTGAAACCTGGAGCCCATTTCCACGCTGCCCAGTACTTGCCAACCGCGATCCCTATGCCAAAGGACGTGCTGGCGTCGCCCCACCAGCCCAGATCGAGCGGCGTGGGGAGTGCCAGCGGTAGTGTGTTCGGGCAAACGGATAGCATGTCTCGTATCCACACGAGGTCTTGCACTAGCGGTTCCGGCGGGTGTAGGCGCGCTCGAGCGGACTTGAAGCGGGCTGCGAAATGTGACAGGCCCCGTAGGAATGGGCGCGTGATATGGAAGATTGTCGCGGCATGGACGAGTTTGCCGTGGAGGCTCGCTGCTTCTCGGGCGGTGAAACGTGCTCCGTGTACCAGCCAGGGCTCGATCATTGCTACCGTGCTGGCTAGCTTCTCTTGTGGTAAGGCGACAGTCTTCTTTTCGAGGTCCCATATGAATCCTATGTACCTCCGTACCGACGAGAGCGGCTTGGTTTTCTTTGCACTCCAGGGTACACCGAGTCGGGCGGTGAGTGCAATGAAGTCTTCCTCTGTCCACGTTTGGTTTGGCAGGCGGAATGCGAGGAAATCGTCTACCCACTTGCGAATCGGACCGAAGCCGGAGGCACGGTAGACTGCCACGAGCATGTCCGCGACTGCACCGAACACGCCGGCACTGGACGACAGGCCAAACATCACTGCACGATCTACGTAAACTTTGCCCCGCCAGAAAAGACAGACTGCGTTCTGGTGTTCTGGTCTGATCGGGGTTATGCGGTATGCTGCTGAGATATCGAACGCCGCGGCGAGTGTTCCAGTCGGCAGTTGCAGAATCAAGTTTGATGTTTCGTCGAATGTTCCCCATTCGGTGGGGAAGTCGTCTGAGTTTATCTTGGCATTTACTGAAGATATGGAGGGCTATACGAGAGTGGGGGGGGCGCGTAAATTGCAGGCAAATCATTACAAACAGAAGCTAGAGCGTACATCGTTGCGAGGATATGACATATCCTGCACTAAACGAAACGTGTCTGCGCCCGCCTTTGGTACCAGCCCTAATGGCGATGTCTGAAAAGGCCCTATGATTTTCTCCAACTCGCGGGGCTCGTAACCCTCCGAGTAGCGTCCCGCTGCGATTTCCGCTGCTATATATTTGTCTATAAAGCCCTCGTCGAGTTCCGACGATGCATGATTCTTGAACGTGAACGAGCGTGGGAGGGGCACATCGACCCCAACTTCGAAACCTGATCTGAGGCCGTCGACGACGTGCCTCCACCGCTCTAAGATGTGGAGGTCGCGTAGCAGCGCCTCCACCTTGTCCGGGTTGAGCGGTGTCACAACCCGGCGCGGGTCTGAGTCAGACCCGACGTCCGCACTTCCCGGCTCCATGGCTGGTGTCACCGCAGAGACTGCAACCGTGGAAGTTCTGGCAGTCCGCCCCAAACCGGCATGTAGAGGACAATGCGTAGTTGAAGCAGAAGGCACGCCCGTTGGGCGCGGCGAGCGCCTGTGCACTGCGTGACCCGTCACCGAGTAAGGGAGCAACGGCTCGGCCAGCTGAGGTGAGGGAGCTTGTGCATCCGGACGGGAAGTGTCCCTGCTGCCCGCAGCGAAAGCACCGGCTCTCCGTACGAGGCCGCTTGACAGACTGGGTTGCATTCGCAGGTGTACCGAGGGCCGCGCGCTTCGCGGGGGCTGCAGTCGTGGCTGCAGTCGTGTCCATGGATCTAGCGCGGGTAGGCGAAGTCGTGATCAGCGTGAGGGCTGCCGTGTCAAGGCCAGAAAGGTCATGTCGATGGTCATTGGCGGCAGCTTCCCTCTGCTGTATGTCGTATTCGACTGCGACTGCCCACCCGTGTGAATGAGCAAGCGACAACACCACGGTGTGGTGACTCTGGAGGGCGTCACCCCGGTCTTTCCCGTGATATACCTGAGTACGCTCCTCCGCCGTTTTCGCTGCCTTCAGCCATTCGATGGTCGATATGCCACGTTCGTTCTCGCGGCTCAGGCCTTTGACGGTTAAGCCTCCTTTCGCGTTCAGGATGTAATCCTCCTCACCGCGCGCCGAGCGCAGGCGCGCGGCTTGCGTGAGAGCCGTGTATGGAATGTAGCGATAATCGCGGAAAGCGGCATCGACCTTCGGGGGTACGGCTGCCATAAAAATACGAGTTAGCCTCTGCTAATGCGAAACGAGAACGATACGATGTGGCGGACAAGTCTCCGGTCGTTGGAGAAACAACGTGCGTGAACGGGCGTGGTACGAAGAGGCGAGTGTGTATCGAGACGCGTGGTGTGCGAGACCACGAGCTTAAAACAGACGACTTACGAAGATCTAGCGCGTTGCTTTTATGCCCCGCAGTGATGGGTGGAAGGGTCACTGTCTTCCTGTTGTCTGCGTTCTCGATTGCCTGCTGCTGTGCCGCTGCTATTGCGGCAGGGGCTGCAACCATCAGATTGCCAGTGTCATTGCTTTGGGATTGAAGACGCTCTATGTCCTCAATCCGAGCTCCGACCGCCGGCGCGACCGCGCTGTTGCCCCTGGCGAGGATGAGCTCCAGTTCCTGGATGCGAGCTTGGTAGGAGGCAAGCGTCACATCCGAGGGAGTACGCGCGCCGGGCGGAGTTGGGGCGGGTACGGCGGGGTTAGCCGCCGTTGTGGCAGCTGCTGGAGCGGGATTGGCCACGGCCGGTCTGTCGATGGGCGGATAAGGTGCCGGTACGTAGCCCAGATTGAGACCGAGATGTTGGTGCATTGTGACGTGTTTTGTGTTTTAGAGTGACAAGTACCGTAAAATTAGATGAAGTTTAAGCGTAGGAATAGGCGATAATAAGTTAGCCTTTAGTAAGCGAGAATAATGTAGCCTTGTTGCTCGAGAACGGTGTCGACTGTGGAGTTCGAGAACAATGACTCTCCTGCCATCGAGCGTCGTGGGTCTATATACTCTCCCCCGGCGGGAGTACTCTGACACCCTGTCTGGCTAAACCATACGGCTCTGTCCGGGTGTGTGCTGACGCTCGGCTGGACGCTGCTGCCGGCCTCCCTCGGCTGCGCTAGAGATCGACCGGCACCGTCACTAACTCTAGGACCCGGCGTCCTAATGAGTACCGATGCAGTGCTTCGAAACAAAATTTGTGGCATCCTGCCTCGCCACACTGCCAAAGGCTTTGGATTCGAGCTACAGTCCCAGTTGGATTTCGGAGCTCTCAGCTGATATACAAGGAAGGAAACTGGTCTCGAACCCCGCGAAATACCTTTGACTCTACTGCTCTCATGATCAAGCATGGTCAATGCGTCTGTGGACCCCCATTAGTGGAACGAAATCATCGCACCAAGTCAAAGTGTGAACATGCATCACGTATCAACTAGCTGTCTATTCCGACCACTATCCGCGACCAAGGAGCGACTAACTACCTACAGGCTGCTAACAACGTACCTCCATCAGACATGCAATCATACGGCCGCAAGATCGTAAACGGTCATTTACTTGAATGCCATATAGCTTGCGAGGCCATTCAGGCGAGTCGAAACTGAACAGCTCTCTCCCCTGTTTAAGGCTTCCGGCGAGCTTCATATAACTCACTGCTTTCGGGACCCGAACCAGCAATGTCAATCTTCGGTGCGCCTCCTCCTCCCCCGACCAAGCTAGGCCGCTACCGCCAGCTAGCTCCGCGAGCTGCGATCCATGTCTCTCCTTTACAGCTTGGAGGGATGAGCATAGGCGACAAGTGGGCCCACCTAGGTTTCGGATCCATGGACAAGGAATCGTCGTTCGAGCTCCTGGACGCATACTTTGACGCCGGCGGCAACTTCATCGACACTGCTACCAACTAGTGCGTCTGCTGGTCCTCCCGTTGTACCTTTTCTTGACATTGTCTAGCCAGGACGGTTCGTCTGAGGAGTTTATCGGGGAATGGGCCGAGATGCGAGGCATACGAGACCAGTTGATTATCTCCACGAAGGTGTGCTCTGTCTAGGCAGCACCAGGACTATACGGGATACTGATTTCTGTAAAGTATAGTAACAATTTTCAACTCGGAAATAAAGACATCAAGCAATGTGTTAATTTCCTTGGGAACAACCTTAAGAATCTCAAGCTTAGCGTAGAGTCCAGCCTCAAGAGGCTACGCACATCGTACATCGACATCCTGTACCTCCATTTCTGGGATCTTCATACCGATATTGAAGAAGTAATGGATGGTTTGCATGCCCTCGTACTTTCGGGGAAAGTCTTGTACCTTGTGAGTGCCACTCTTCCATTACTACACTTCCTAATCCTCACCCAATTGCCCTAGGGAATCTCGGACTCGCCCTCCTGGCTCGTGACCAAGGCCAACACGTACGCGAGGTGCATGGGCAAGACACCATTCGTCGTATACCAAGCAGCATACTCCGTCCTCCAGCGGGACATCGAACGGGACATTCTCCCGATGTGCCGACATGAAGGTAGGCGCTGCTGCAAGATCTGAGTAGCCCGACCTCACTAACCTGCGCCCCTCAGGAATCGCTCTCACATTTTGGAACGTGCTGGCGCAAGGCCATATTCGTTCAGACGAGGAAGAGGAGAAGCGCAGACAAACGGGGGAGAAGGGCCGCACCAGCGTCCTCGGCGGCTGGGAGCGAACCCCAGACGAGAAGAAAATGTGCGACGCCCTACAGGTTATTGCGAACCAGGTTGGTGTGAAGAGCATACAAGCTGGTAAGTCCCATACGGGTGACTACCCTTCCTTATGCGAACGCAGCCTGACGTACCACGCAGTTGCTATCGCCTACACGATGCACAAAGCGCCCTTTGTCTTCCCTATAATAGGTGGCCGGAAGGTCGAGCATCTACATGCGAATATCGAAGCCCTCGACGTTCGCCTCACGCAGAACCAGATTAATTACATCGAAGGGATCCTGCCTTTCGACAAGGGATTCCCTCAGAACATCATCGTAAGAGATTCGGTCCTCATGGAGATCCATAATTAACGCTGCTGCATCTTAGGGCGAATATGGAACTTATAGCTTTTTGCTGAAGTCCTATGCTCATTTCGATGAGCAGCCCATATTACCGCCAATTACGCCAGGAAGCAATTAGAGACTCAGAAATACCATGAACGTGCTTAGCAGCCGTGACGACAATTATAGCCCAACCACGTACAGTGTATTATACGCTTTTACCGTACCTGCCGTGTCCCTTCATCTCTCGTTATACCATGCTTTCCGACGTCTTCGGACCTGTCTTCCTCTCCTCGTTCACAGTATCTGGGGTATCAGTTCCACCTCTATGTTCCCCCGCTGCTTTCGGAGCTTCCTGCCTGTTGTTCGGCTCAACATCTTCTCCAGACAAGTCGGCAGATACTTTCGCTGGAACGGCTTCCGCGGGGCTGAACCAGAACAGTGGATACCGTCGCTGAATATTATCCACCAGCAGCGCCACCACCAGTATAAGCGTGGACGATAGCAGGATCACGGGCAGGTAATACCATCCGATTTCGTATACGTCTGCGTTGACAGCGGCTAGGAGGGCAGTCGCGCCAGCAGGTGGGTGAGTCGTTCCGGTTATTTGCATGATGACTATTGCAGTCGCGACAGACAGGGAGCCCGCCAGCCATCGGAGCGAGTCAAGACGTTCTTTATCCGGCATAAGTTCGAATAGCTTGGTTATGCATATTCCGGTTAGAGCGGCGAGGAAATGGCCGCCTACCAGCGCCCGGGGCTGAGACAAAGGGGCTTCGATAGCGCCGTACACAAGAACGGCCGACGCGCCCTAAACCGCAGGTCAGCTTTCGCGCATGTGGAGAGTGACACATTCTTACATAGCTAGCTATAACACCGGGGACATGCCTTCGCAAGAAGTAGTGCGAATAATTGAAGACTCCTTGTATGACACAGAGGCCACTGAAGGCGCCGATGAACGACCAGAACCAAACCACGTAGTTGGGCTGTTTCTTTGGAGGATGGCGTCGGTAACCGACCCAGCGAGTGAGCCAAATTGGGCAACGATCAAGTGGATGTCGAAGATGCTGTTGAGGCTGGTATTTGGTCGACATTGACAATCGACTGCGGTATGGCTTCAAGGAGGAGAAAGCGGCTACTGAAAGCGTTTGAAAGGCGTTGTACGGAGACCCAGCGTCGCATGACTGAGGGACAGCTGACCAAAGTTTGGAAAAATGGAATGACGAAATTCCGTCGATCACATTCCGGCTGATCTGTACCGACTGCTACACTTATTCCAAGACTACCAACGAAACGATTCAATGATTGGGCCAGCTTGGTCATAGGAGGAGGACTCAGCATTCGGCGTCGGTCGACGCCGATGGAGATGACAAAATGCATATGTGGCCTTGTATGTGGCATCCGGGTCCCTCCGACGGCTGCTCAACGGCTTGTCCAACAAATTTTGAAATAGACAAGCACCACGCATCCAGACAGCAATTCGCAAGGTCCCATTAGAGAGGAGAGTGAAAAGCATAATGTAATAAGACAACAGTTCAAACGAGAATAATCTACAGTATAATGGAGCAGAGAGGGTGCAGTCCAGTCTTACTAGATACCAAGTCACGACACATTTCGACACGCTCATCCCCGAGCGTAAGGGTGATAGCCATGCTGGCCTCTTTGGCCCGTCCTCTGGGGTCCAACACCCTGTTGCCCACTGGGTCCTCCTGGGCCGAAGCCTCTAGGGCCACGAGGAATATTACCACCCATGCCGCCTCCTTGCATCATGCCAGGCATAGCACCCATACCGGCCCCCCTGCCCATCCCCATCCCAGCTGCGCCGCCCATAGCTGCGGCGCCCATACCGCCCGGTGCCATGGGAGCCCTGTTCATGCCCATACCAGCACCGGCACCCATGCCCATGCCTCCCATCATACCGCCCATACCGCCCATCATCGGGTTCATCCCGCCAGCCATCATAGGATTCATCCCGCCACCCGTCATCTGGAACATGCGGGTGTACAGCGCAGCCAGCGCCTGAGGGTCGAAAGGCGTGCTGCCCCCTGGGGCAGGCTGCTGGACCGGAGGAGACGACTGCGCGTTGTAACCGCCAGAGCCTTGACCACCATAATTGCCGCCACCGCCACCGCTGTAGTTGCCCCGGCCTCCTCCTCCGCCTCCAGATCCTCCCTCGCTGTGCCCGCCGAAGTCGCGCTTGTATCGTGGCTCAGCGAGTTTCACGTCAATCTAAGGCCACGAGGTTCAGTCTTGCCATTCCATGCGTAAACGAAGGAAGGCATGATCTCACCATTTTGCCGTCGATCTCGAGCTTGCCAAACCCTAGGATGGGCGTGACGTCCGCATCCTCGAAAGAGACGAAACCGAAGCCTTTGCTCCTCCCCGTCTCACGGTCCAGCATCACCGTCGAGTCAATGACTTTGCCAAACTGTGAGAAAAACTCGCGCATGGATTCTGAGGTGACGCTGCCTGCCAGACCGCCAATGAATAGCTTGGTGGCACGTTGGTGCTCTTGACGAGGAATAGCGCGCTTCGGGTCAATCTACGGAAACACATTAAATTTACCGAATACAGTGGAGGACGTATGCTACGTACTATTTTACCGTCCAGAACGTGTTCCCTCACCATCACAGCGTTCACAGACGCCGGGTCTTCGAACGTTAAGAAGGCGAAGCACCGCGAACGACCAGCGGCATCCCGCATAATGGTGCATGCGTCGACTTTACCAAATTGCGAGAAGTAATTCCGGAGAGTCTCTGCAAACAGGACATCGGTTCAGTGGCACCAAGGTATAAAACATGTAATAACTACCATCCGTTGTGTCCCAGTTGAGACCGCCGATAAACATTTTGCTGTACGTATCGTAGGCACAAGGACAATCAGGGTATTGAGGGAGAGTAGACGTTGACGAGGGCGCAACGCGACATAAGAGAAGCAAAGAATGATATTAGTACCGAGTAACCTAGAACAGGAGGGGTTATGACACAAGATAAAAAATGGAGGACTCTACTGTGTAGTGACGCGTCTCTCGAGTGCTAGCCTAGCTTAGATGGCCCTTTGGCCTAGCTGTGTAGCTGCCTAGCTTAGACTAGAGAACGGGAACGCTAGAGCTAGTCCTAGTCGACAGAGATCCGTAGCTAGCGCGACGCAGGACGACCGACTATCAGGACAACCTAGCCAAGTTACGGGTGCCAGCCATTGCCTCAAAGCATCACCGACAGCAGAGCCTTCGCCATGGGAGGTTAGCATTCGATAGGAAAGCAGTGACTCACCCTTCGTCTTTCATCTCTGATGGTCTCACGCTTCGATGCTCAGACACAGGGATGTACTGACCACTTCCGTTCTGCGACCGAGGAGGTGAGGGCATGTTGTATTCAGTCCGCTCTTGATACGTTGGAATTTGCTGCGTCTCTGAAGACGACGTATAGGTCTGCACAGCTTGCGGTTGCTGAGTCGCAGAAGTAGCCTGTTGAGGTGCCTGCGTCCTGACCGGGGCCTGCGAAGACGGCGCCGCTGGTGCAGGCGGCTGCTCCTGCTCAGGCTTGTCGTCTTCGGGGTATTCCTCCAGCTCTTGCTTCGACAAGTCTTTGGCATCACCAGCAAATTCGGTTTCATCGTTCCCGTACAAATCTGGTCTTTCTCAGCAAATGAACCTTCATGTATAGCATAAAGCTTACCGCCGTAAAGATCTGCGTCGAGGTCGGACATGGTTGGCAACGGATAGGTAGGTCGTGGGCAAAGTGAAAGGGCCGGCGATAAAATCGCTTCAGAGGACTGGCCAAGTCACGCCACAGCTGTCTGAGTCTGAAATGCCTCTCACGGTTGCCGTCGGCAAGCCGCGGGCCACAGGCCACCCCAACAGGCCACTCAAGTCCGAGTCAACACGTACACCAACGAAGGCGGGCCGCTGAAGTACTTTTATAACTCCCAGCAGTGTAGAATAGATAATGGCTCTCCGTTAAGTGAACTTGATTTGTAGATTAGCCTCCTCAACTCCCAGCATGTGCAGCTCACAAAGTGCGGCAATACGGTGATCATATCATATGCAACCTGAGCTTAGGGTCATGTAATAAGAAGGTACTACTGCATGAAAGCGATCCCTAATACCGTCTCCCGCCGCGACCTCCACCCGGTCCCTGATACGGCCCATAGTCTGGAGGCGGTCGTGCTAGGCTGCGGTCAATCACTTGGTAGGATACACCAGCAAACCACTTACTCGGACGGGGTGGTGGTGGTGGGGACCGCGGTCTCGTCACACTAGGAATAATAGCGTTACGGAATACTTGCATTAGATCATCAGTTCGGAACGCGGGTTCTGACGCAAACAGTCAACACAGGATATTATGTTGCGGTCCGATTGATACGCACCGCCATAAGCATTGAAAGCAGCCGCCGAGGGCAGCTGTCCGATGAAGGATGAAAGGATCGGTGGCAAGACCACAGGCTTCTCTTCCTCTCTCTCCATCTCCATTCTTCGTGGCGGGGGGCCACGCCGCTCCCTGTCTCGATCCCAAGCAGGACTGCCATAACGACGTGGAGGCCCGTCCCACCTATCACGGTCTCTTTCGCGTGGAGGCGGAGATGCTCTAGCTCTTTTATAGACGGGAGGTCCATCGTTGACCCTGCCGGGACCGTCGTCTCTTCTCTTGTGGTCTGGCGACGGCGCTCTTTTGTGCCCCGAGCTCGGCGGCGGAGCCTGGAACGCCTGGCTAGTATTTTGATTGGGGGCCCCTAGTAGGGACTGAGCGGTATCATTGGGGCCCAACGCATTTCCACGAGCGCTGGTCGAGGGCGCCGGTGCGGGTGGTCTGGCAAACGAGAATCCGAGGTCCCGAGCAGCGATTGCATCCGTCCCAAGGTATGTGTGCCGCTGTGCAAAACGTTTAATCGGAGGATCTACGGGAACGTCAGTTGGTAGACGTCGCATAATGGCAAGGGCCACACCGTTGGGGTATATTTCAGCGATCCTCTTCTCAAGGTTGAGAGCAGTCTCGAGATTCATGTACTGGTAGACGTAGCGGGCCCACCTTTCCCAAAGGGGTCGAGCTTTATCTGGCGGGAACGTACCAATCACCCGCTCGAACAACGCCCGAGCATCTACGTCGGAACGATCGTTAGGAGGATCAAAGGAGTGAATACTTATAACCTTACTATTTTCATCATTGATGGAGATTAGGAAACCAAGGTAACGGAGAACAAACTCGACCTCATGCCCGAACGCCTTTAGACCTGCCTCAAATATACGGCTGGTGGCGAGGGTTTCTTTCTGACAGTGGTATTCCATCAGGGCTATGACAGCTAAACTCAGCGCCCCTGATCCGCGAGAACAAAAGAGTGATATGTCGATCGTACCGTGAGCTTCATACACTTCCCAAGGTGTCCAGCGATCCTTCCTAGCACGGGAGAAAATGGCGCGAGCACTCTTCTCATTTTCGGCACGGCGAGCGAATCGTATGTACATGATATACACGAGACCATATTCTGTCCGTCGGTCGGCAAGTTCCTTAGTCTTGCTCGGGGCCTCATCGGAGTTCTGCGAGCTGAAGGACGAGTTGTTAGAACCCGCCCCGCCTTCTGCCGGAGCCGCAAAGCCATTCGCAGCATTCCCGCTGTCATTGCCAGTCGTGGGCATGTTGGCACTGAAGGAACTAGCCGGCGTGATTTTCTTCTCGAGCTCTTCGAGCTGCTTGCTTAGGGTTTCAAGAAGGTTCTCGTATACCTTATGGACTTTTTCTTTCTCGCCGCGAATCTCTAGCTCTTCAGCGTACGCAAAATTCAGCAGGAAACTAGGGAAGAATCAGCGCGGGCGAAGACAGAACGGGCGGCGGTCAACCGACCTAGATGGATTGGCTTCAATGCCGGCCTCAAGTAGAGCTACAGCATCCTGTAGCTTACCGATACTTTTAGTCCAAACATATGCCATATACCTGGAAAGCATGTCAGCAACGGATGAAGGCCGTTCGTAACGGCCGTACCAAATCTCCGCGAAGAATCGCATTCGAATGACAGCTTTTCGGTACACCATCTGCACCCGCTGGATAAATGTTGCCTTGTCCTTCTCATCCATTTCCAACGGGTTGCTTTCCTCCCACTTGAGGTACGCTTTCCATTGACCAACGAGCGCGCGTTCGGGCGGCGCAAACGTCGGCGGCGAGGGGAGATACAAAGCGGGCCGCCCGTTGTTGCTCGGAGGCGCCGGAGGGAACAGGAGCGCGACGTGTCTCTGAAGCTGCCGGGACGCTGCACGGGCTTGCATGTGCGATGGCGAAAGGTCTTGAATGAATTTCTTTCCCTGTATTGTTGATGTTGTAGGAACTGATCACTTGGCATGAGTCCGAGTACGTACCGTCACCTTGTTCAGACCCATCTCAAAGGCTTCATATTCCGACCAGAGCTTGTCGTGGTTCTCAAGCGGGATAGGGATCGCACGATGATATATCTTCCGTAGAGCATCCATTTTTTGTTGCTCTTCCCATGTCGTACTAATCTGATTTCGGACCTTAGACGATGCCATATACACCCTTCGTCGCGACCTACCTCTCGGGACTTGATGAATTGAATGTAGTCGTTCCATATGTCACCGCTGTCCTTGTCCTGGCCAACGGTCTTCAATGCAAACTCGTATGCCTTTTGTACTTCATCACGCGTGGCTGGGGACGTGTTCATACGCCTGACTTGCCATCAGACTCTCATCCGGCCGCGGGGCGCACCTCATGACTGACCTGACATAAGTGAGATAGAACTTCCACAAGTCGACATCCGGTGACGTCCTCAAGAACTTTATGAACAGCGCTTGAGCCTGCTGGAACTCGCCCGAGTCGAGGAAATGCGAGATGTAAGCTATCTGGGCGGCAGACTTTGCGAAAAACGCGTGTAAGACAGATGATCGGGCACGAAAAGACAGTATGAATTGCGAACAGTGTTGGGGTAAGTTTGCAGCAGCTGGTCGTACGCAGTCTTAATCTTCTCAATGTCGCCAGAACTCTCAGCTAGATTGACGAGCTTGTGCCACGCTTCCGTGTCGTGCGGGTTGTCGTGCAGGCGCGTTTGCAGCAAGTCCCACTCGGACGGTGGCTCGCTTGGCTCAGCCGGTTCAGTTGCGACAGTTTCCATTGACGCTGCATTTGTGTTGTCTACGTCGTCGGCGGCGATGGTCTCTTGGCTGCCTTCTCCGGATGGCGGTTGAGGTTGGCTCGCGTTCTGCAGCGCTTGCAAGGCTTTCAGGATATCTTCGGCTGGCTGCGTCTTCTCTCCGACATCGGTCATAGAATCTTCCGTGGTGGATACGGCTTGCGGTGGTTCAGACATGGGGAATGTAGTCGCCGTACACGACGGTGAAGTCGATGTCGAAATTGGTTCGAATAATGCATCGTAATTCGGAATATTTGTGCATTTTCCCACGGCACATGCCCCTCGGCGTTTGCGCACTTCGTTCTCGTCTAGCTCGGCTTTCCGTCGCTGTCTCCGACGTCGAGCGCGACTATTGACGACGACGATGGCTTCGTGCCCGACGTTCGTAGCCTTGATCTCAACGCCGCATATTCCCAAGCATTCTGACTCGACGTTGGCCCTCGGACCCGCTGATCCAGGGCATCGGCGACTTTCGAAGACGGGGCGGCATGTGCTTAAAAGGCTTTAAAAGGGCTCGTGCGACTGATGGGTGCTATCTGATATACAGCCATGCCACAGAAAATTAAGCTGAACATTGGTCTGTTAGCGATGCTGAAGTCTGTGGCTTGAGTTATGTTGGGCCAACTGGAATTCCACCCGACGCGCTTTGCATTCAGACGAAACGCGTCGGACGGACTTGCTAGTGGGCGTCAGTGAAATCTCGTGCCGTGAGACACAGTATAAGAGTCAGGAACCATGTGCGTATGTTTCAAAATATCATCTGTGCTATGCTATGGATCGGAGCGGCTGGATGCGAGTATTCGACCCGATGTAGGCGCTCCTGCATATTTCACGCAGTCAGAGGGGGCTGCATCCGTTCTAGGAGCATCCTGGAACATGAATTCTCTCCAGGCTCACAAGCTACGTCGGAGAATATTTCCATGTTGACCCTTGCGCGATGTAGGGCCCGACGGACCAGAGTCCGGACGTCAAACACTGGGGTTACTGCGACCGCTTGCTTTACGTCCGCCTCCAAGAGTCTCAAGTTCACCAGCCGCTCAGATTACCGTTGACAAGCATGTATCAACGATGCCGTTCCCAAGAGTACAACGTGCCTTGTCGGTCCCAAGTAAGATTCCCGCTCCGCAAGGTATGCATCTCCAAATACGAGGACGGTGTTGACTCAACGATTAGAATGCAGGACCCGTCTCATATTATTGCTGCACCTTCCAAGCAACGATGCTCTTAATTTGGATCTGGACGAAGCGGAAGAGGTTTGCACCGCTTTGCAGAGCACGGGCCGATCGGACCCTGATCGACATCTGATTATGGCAGGAGCTATAATCATGGTCAACGGCCTCTGGTCGTACCGCCAGCTCCCCTCAAATTTCTCCCCGAGCCATGGCCAACGCCAGTCCGACCCGGAATGCTGTCGTGGGCATCCTCGGTGAGCGGATATATGTTGGGCGCCTTCGAGACGCTGCTCATGTCGTGGAATTAGCATTACAAGGGGCGTTCGCGGAGCACCAGGCGATGCTGCAGCGGTCGCCCATAAAGCGGAAGGTCACGGTCGTACAGGTCCGGACGGCGGAGGATCTTGCAAAGTGTGACGCTTTGATCATACCCGGCGGAGGTGCGTTCGTTTCACAAGGACGAATGCTTGGAGTCTCCTGCTGACTATGCTCAGAATCCACCACAATGGCCATTCTGGCTCGGTCGCTGGGTCTACTTGAGCCTCTCAAGGAGTTTATACGGACCAAGGTCGTTTGGGGAACCTGCGCTGGAGCTATCCTGCTCTCGCAGTCAGTGGAGAATGCGAAGAAAGGCGGACAGGAACTCCTAGGTGGCATCTCCGTGAAGATTGCACGGAACGGTTGGGGTTCACAGGTACGCCAATGCTGTGGCAGAGAACATGCCTTCCTATCTTAAGACATGCACAGGTTGAGTCCTTCGAGGCTGCTCTCGAAGTAGAAGGTCTTCGTGACTCGAGCACGCCATTTACCGGTGTCTTTATCCGCGCCCCCGTCAGTGATATCGACCCAGCTAACTTTCATGCACTGACTCTTGCTCTGCTTTTAGGTTATCCTGGGTCTCAACCCTGCCCCGTCGGACCCACCAATAGAAGTGATTGCCCGGCTTTCTCCACAGTGTCTCCCCCGCTCACACGACCAGCCGGAGAGGCAAGTGACGGACTCTTCCGACCCACGGACTATTGTCGCTCTTCGGCAGGGCCGCCACCTACTCACTACCTTCCACCCTGAGCTGACGGACGACAACCGTTTCCACGAGTACTTCGTACAACACTGTGTCCTGCCATCGTTGCAATCCGCTTGACTGCCCGAGCCCTTTTGTTCAGGCCGTATAGATAGACCATCGGTGTAGTATATAGACTGTATTTTTGGTTATCTTTATTGTGCATGCGTTGCCAGACAAACTTACTGTGGCGGTGGGAAGCTAAGCGCCCATATATCTGCACGTGCTGCACCGTCGGCTGCACTGCCGGAAGGAGGATAAGGTCGTAATCCCTTCCATACAACCATCACCAAAATGACACACGAACTTCGATTTCGCATGGTCATTGTGCCCCTGCGTATTCGTAAATAGCAGTGATGGCTGCATATATAACCGAGGCCGGTGAGCCCCGTTGTTCTCGAGCGTACGAACCATGCTCTCCCGACTGGCCGTGGTGGCCCTTGCGGCGCTCTCTGCAGTGGACTCGGCGTTCGGACGACAGCTTACGAAAAAGGACGTTCGTGCACGACAGCATGAGGCCGCGAAACGGTGGTCGATGGACTCGCGTGCGAAGCGCGCGACAGGTGGAGGAATCAAGAATATTACTTTCTCCAACCCTCGCGCCTCTGAATTCTACGTGGACGGGACGACCCTACCCGACGTGAACTGGGATGTGGGTCCGAGCTGGGCTGGGCTGTTGCCCATCAGCAGTGACCCTAACGAGACTCGGCAGGTTGGTTTTCCAGCTTTCAAGTTGGTAAGACACGGCGCGGGTATAAATAAAATAATCTGTTAGCCTTACTTCTGGTTCTTCCCCCCGGGACCTCAAGGGAGTCTGGATGACCTGCTTTTCTGGTGAGTGCTCGATGCGTCAGGAAGAAGGCACGCGGATTTCCGGGTGAGGAATACGTCTAGTCAGCGAACCCATAAACACGCCTGCCATTTCCCTGACGCAACTGTGAAGCCGCATGCGCGAGCTGACATCCATGCAGGACGAACGGCGGACCTGGTTGCTCGTCCCTAGAGGGCTTCCTGCAGGAGAACGGCGTGAGATCAACCTCCAGTGACCTTGTCTAGCATGTATTGAAACAGAGTGACCAGCCGATTACATGGTCCTGGGGTCAAGCTGGACCCACCGTAAATGAGTACAGCTGGACCAACCTGTCGAGCGTCCTCTGGGTCGAGCAGCCAGTCGGCACGGGCTACTCTCAGGGCACACCAAATATTACGGTACGTGGCTTGCAGTAGTATGAGTTGGTGACACATAGCTTCAACGACACTTTTGAAAAGAACGAAGACGATTTGGCCGCTCAAGTGGTCGGGTTTATGCAGCAGTTCCTCGAGGTTTTTTCAGAACTGAAGGGCAAGAACTTCTATCTGTCAGGCGAAAGTGTAAGTCAAAAGCCTCTGTCCATGCAGTCTGCTTAAACTTCAGTACAGTATGCAGGATACTACGTGCCTTGTAAGTTCGAGAACCGTAGTTCGTTCGCATCGACTCTCAACAGCATCGTGCAGATATTGCCAACTACATATACAGCCACCCTGGCGACTTGGACCTGTCTCTGAAAGGGATTTGGATCTCCGATCGTAATTTCCAGCACACCTTCTGGGTATTGACGTCCAATTGATCCAAATGTAATGCAGCATCCCTGTCGTACGATGTCGTGCAAGAAGAGATTCCTGCAGTGGACTTCGTGCACAAGTATGAAAGCGTGTTCTCGCTGAAGTATGGCCTTGTTCACATATCGAAAATACCCCACTGATCATCGGATCAGCCAAACGTTCATGGAATACCTCGACAAGACCGCAGAGAAGTGCGGTTACACAGGCTACTACCAAAAGTATGTGACGTTCCCGCCCAAGGGGCCCTTGCCTATGCCTGGAGGCACTCCCGACATCTCCGATGAGTGTGACGTCTGGGATGCCATCTTTTCGGCTGCCTTGCTGGTGAACCCTGCTTTCGACATATATCGCATATTTGACACGGCAAGTCTGTTTCTGTACGAGAAGTTGATGCAGTACTAATGAGTTCGGATCATAGTACCCCATCCTATGGGATGTCCTCGGTTTCCCGTACGTCGCTTCTTCCACATTCGTGGCCATCTGAATAACCCCCGCCGTAGCGGGTCATTCCCCAACGTCCAGTCGCCCATCTACTTCGACAGGCAAGACGTCAAGGCTGTGATCCACGCGCCGCTCAACACGACCTGGTCGGAATGCTCGAACATCAGCGTCTTCCCCAATGGCGATAACAGCCCGCCGTCCGCTCTGTCCGTGCTGCCAAACGTGATTGAGAAGAGCGAGCGGACTGTCATTGTTCACGGTCTCGCAGACTTCATCTTGATTGCGGAGGGGTAAGTGCACTTCAGCTTGGATAACTCTACGTGCCGGCTGATCACTTGCTTGAAGAACGCGCATCGCGATACAAAAGTGAGCTAGTTTGTGCACTTGCGGAATGTGTCCCTAATTGCTGTGATGTGTCGCCCTCCGTCCGTCAGCATGACTTGTGAGTAGTACTACTAGTATCGGTCTTCCATGAGGCTTAAGAAGTCGTCCTGCGTCGTAGGGAACGGTGCCCAGGGCTTCCAGGCACCCATCGCCAACGAAAGTCTCGTCGTCGAGGGAATGGGCGCGCTCGGCAACGCGCATTTTGAGCGCGGCCTGACCTATGTCGAAGTTGACCTCAGCGGCCACATGTGAGTCCGCTTTGTCTCCTAATGCCGTCGATTACTGATGCAATTCTGCCATTTCAAAGGGTCCCCCAATTTTCCCCTGTGGTAAGTCTCACTGCTATGGCGGCAAAGGATGTGCGTTCACCAGTACCTTCTAGGCCGCCTTCCAGATCATGGAGTACCTCATGGGCTTCAGGGATAGTCCGTCGGTATGATGCTCACGGAGGAATCAAGTAGCCACTGGGAAAGGGGGCATGGACTTCGTCATGCTCACATAGTGCTCTTGTAACCATGTGGCTTCATGACCTTTAGCCTATCCATTGTCTTGGTACCCCTGCATTGGGGTAATAGTATGCGGGACTGCGTTCTTTGCCCTGTTGCAGACCTCCGAAGATCCGACCAAGCCACAATAGAGTGATCTCTTAGCCACATTACAGTCTCTAGCGCCTCGCTTGCGCAGCCGTCAATGTTGGTTTTGACGTGGCGGAAATGGTACTTCGTCCGCTAGACTTCTTAGATCTTTCGCCGAATGAATGGCGACCCTACACCGCTTGGATTGTCAAGGCTGCCATTTGGTGAGGAAAATAACATGGGCTTATCTAAATACTACAGTACAATGCAAGGGTACAGTCGGTATTACGAGTGTCCGAGGTCGAGTCCGAATATTCTATGCTTTTACTTCTGCCTCTCAGTATTCGCGTAGTGACGCCTATAAGATAATAGCCTGACTGGCGTAGAATTCCCGTGCGGCGATGAGCAGATTCTGCTCTCTGACGTCCCACATCTCCTGCACCTCCCGCTTCACCCTCGCTCTCTTGTCGCGGTTAACAGACTTGACCGTCATCTTAAAGGCAGCGGAAATCGGCCGGTGGTCAGAGACGTTCGCTTCATACCGCTGATAATGCAGCTGCTCCACTCGGTCCGGGTGGCGTGACCGCCAGAGAACACGATCGCACCACGCAGGCACGCGTCGCTTTTCTGAGGTGTCATATTCGTCCGAACGCCGATCGTACTTGTACGTGGGCGGGAATGTAAGGGGCCCTTCACGGAAGGAGCGGAGGCGGAAGGCGCGGTTATTCTTCATTTGCATCACTAACTGATCGTGCGCGATGAGGAAGTCGTAGTCCCCTGCGCGGACGGCTGCAATTACAGCATCGCGGCGCTGCTCGATACGGTAGTTCATGTCACCGTTGAACTGCGAGGCAATGTGAGTTCCCTTCAGAACAAAATAACTTTGGGACAGAACATACGAAGACGATTTCGTGGTCGAGAACCATGGACCCATCCCCACCGCCGACATACGCTACTGGATCCTGCCAAGTGTCCGTAGCTGGGAAGACTGCTTTCTCTTCCACCATAGCCGCAACGTCAGCGTTCCGCTGGCGCACATGGTGCTGTCCAGCAGCCAGATGGCAGTTGATGAAACACACTGAGGTATCGTCAATGATAAAACGGGCGACGATCCCACCCTTGAAGCTGATCAGTAAACTGTACTCGAGCTTCCAACGCAGACCTTACCTTGTTTCCATACCTGCCACCCATACCCCGCTTGATGGTCGTAATTGCCACATCCTTCAGCGAGAATTTCTCCGTATTCTTAACAAATATGCAGCTGAACAACCCGACCAAATTCTCCGTATGTATGACCGTATACGGCGTCTCGGGCGGCATCGCGAGCCTCACAGCCAGCACAAGCTTATCATACCACTTCTTGTACGCCGAAGAGACTTTCTCCGAGATGGTGCCATCTGCGGTCTTCTTCTTTCCGCCAAGCAGCACCGATTTTGCCGCCATCTTGCGACTCTCAAGGTCGATGAGCTCCTGGAAGCCGAAGGCGATGATGTCGGGCGAGTCGACGGTGTGCAGTACGGTATCGAGGAAGTTAATGTTCTCCGGGCTCCCGCTGAGTGCGTCCGGCTTGGCGGCATCCACGTTCCATGAGACGATCAAGAGGCTGAGATCTCGGAACTTGCTGAACTCTTCTTCCCGTTTGAGAAGCTCTTCATCTGGAAGTGACAAGATCAGTCAATGCCACTGTTCACCGGAAAACGCGAGACCCACCGATCCAATTCTCAGCAAGCAAGCCATCCCAGAACTTGATCCGCTCGTCCCTGCCGACACTAACCACACAAAGCCGACCCAACTTCTCGATACTCCATGGATCCACCGCGAGCCTCGTCACGGGCACCCCACCATGCGCGTCCCAATTATTCGTCATCACCCACGGCTTCGCACTCACATCGTACGCCGCGACCATACCCTTGCGGCCTCCAGCCCACAGCTTATCATTCACGCCTTCGAGACACAGGACGTCCGACGTGCTGATCTTCATCACCTCCAGGCACACAGGCACGCCCTCGCCCTCCTCATCGTGCAAACACCAGATACTGATGAACCCGCCCTCGTGCCCGAGGTACGCAGACCCTGGTTGTGAGGGTAGCACTGTCCCGCAGGTGACGTTCCCGACGTGTTCGGTGGGCAGCAGCGAGCGACCCGACGAGCCAGGCGTCAGGATATCGTACACCCTCACGATCGGCCCGCGCGAGCTCGTCCCGTTCGCGCCTGCGCCGCCGCCAGGGTCCATCCGTGCGCTCGTCCACAGCTTTCCACCAATTACATGTGCAAACTCCTGCTTGTCCGCGATGCGCACCACGCGCGGCTGCACGCTGTTCAGCATGAGCGCCGCGCCCTCCTGGCCCTCGAACACGAGCACCTTCCCGCTCTCGTCCATGCTCACCATCGCGCGGCCGATGCGGAAGATGTGTGTGACGGCGTGCGAATGCGCGGAGAGCTTCACGCCCGTCACCGCGCCCGCGCCCACGTCGAACTCGATCAAGTGCCCCTCCTTCGTGCCCATCCATACAAAACACCCAACCTCCTCCCCGCGCCCCGCGAGAAACTCCACGCTACACACCTTCACCTCCTTCTCCTTGACCTTCCACTCGCGTAGCGCGTCCTTCAAGTCAAGGTCCCACACGGGAACCGCATCAGCCCCGCCGCCCACCTCCCACACGCGTACGCGGTGCGAGTGCGCGACGACGACGGTGCGCCCGCACGCCGCGACCTCCGAATGGCTCGGCACATGCACGCGGTTCTCGAGGCCGACACTGGGCGGGCGGCGCGACGCGCGGCTCGTATCGGGCATCCCCGCGGGGTCGACCTTCTCCTCCTCCTCGCTCTCGGACGAGGACGGGGTCGGCGGGCGCCGCGGCGGGGGCAGCTTATCCCCCAGCGCAATTGTGCGCGTCGGCGGCGGCGGGAGGCGCTCGGCATGGGGGTTATTGTTGTTGGTCTCACGCCGGCGGGGAAGGGGCGGTGGGTGCGTATTATGGCGTGGCGGAAGCTGCGGGGGAGATGTCGACTCGGAGAGACGCTCGGGGCTGGTTCCGGTTTCCGAGGACTCTGACGAAGACGAGTCGGAGAACGGGCTTTCGACTTGAACATCGGGAGGGGTGGCGATGGGGCGAGGAGGTGGAACAGGTCGAGAGGCAGGACTTGGTGACGAGACTCTGCGATGCGACATGGTCAGAAATCGTAGATGCAGAACAATCATGGTTGTGACAGCAAGAACCCCGATCCACAACAGTGACGTCTGCGGCAGAAGCACATTCGAGTTCGGGCTTAACCCAACGTTATCATTCGTTGATGCCTGCGATGACTCAAAGCTTCGAGGTGCCTCTAATATGGGCCGAGCCAGGAATAGAGCAGGCTCCTCCGCTCAGTCCGCCACCTACTACATCCCCCCGCAGACTGCCATTCGAATTCGGGCAAAGCACTCACCCATTACTTCTTACAACATCAACAGAATGAGCTGAATGCCGGGGTGGCGGTGGCGGATGGGACGACGGTCGGGGAGAGGGCGAGCTGGCGGGACAGTACGTGAGTTCAATGCGCACTAATACGCAGAAGAATTGCGCTTACTGGGCCGCGCCTTTAAGATCGGATGTAGTGACCGACGGTCTCGGAGGGGGCGGGGCTGGCCGGGCGTGTAATCTAGGTGATGGTGGCCTGTTCATAACACCGAGAATGATGAATCTGCTAGAATTCAAAAGACAATATCAAGCCTTACGCTTGTGAATGAGGCAAGAGATTATCCGAGGGAGTGAGCGACGGTCGGGGAGGCGGACGGGGACGCAGTTGAGGTGAAGGAGGACTGTCCAGACTAACAGTGAGCATCTTCCCCGTGTGCAGAAGTCGTTACCCAGACTCACCCTGCGGGACCAGGTATGTTTGCATAGGCATCAGGAGAAGTACTAAGAGACGGCCGAGGTGGAGGGTGAGGAGGCGGTTTGGGCGACGGTGGGATGGGGAGTCCGTGACCATGATCCGACGATGCGGGAGACGGAAGGTGCGAGGGGGGATTGGAGCTGTAAACGCAGAGAAGGATCAATAAACGAACAACAGGCGGCGCGGCACAGTCGAGCAAGCTTGTGCAACCGGACTAGACCAAACCCTAACCCCAGTTCGCCCGCGCTGATAACTTTACCGACCTTTCCTGTTCAACACTCGCGCACACCGCCGCCAAAGAAAATCCAACAAATAATTGAGGAGGATAGTGACTTACCCAAACTGATTGATTAAACTAGCAACACTGCCCGGCCTCGCGATCCCCTCCCCATCCGACCCCGCACTAACACTCCCGTTCTCGCTAGCCGCCTTAGCGTGTCCATGCGCGTGCGGCGGGGGTGGGGGCGGCTTACGACTCAGTAGCGCGCTCTTCGTCGTCGTCGCAGGCTGAGGTGCTGGTTCCGAGATGCTAGGAATAGATACCGGGTTTGGTACAGGGCGGAGTAACGGCGAGATGGACGGCGATGGCGAGGGGGTGCGTCGGTTCACCGGTGGGGGCGGCGGAGGTGGCTTGCCCAGCAATCCCGAGGCAGAAGTAATGGACGAAACGGATCCCGACGGCGAATGCGAGTGCGCCCGAAGGTCCGAGGACGAAGAGCTCGTCCGAAGGTGTTTGTTGTCCGATGCTGCGTGCTGCTGGTGCAAGTTCGATAAAGCCCTTGGCCGCCCCGGCACGCATGAGGGGTCCAAATATGTGCTCGCTGGCCTGGACGGCGGCGAGAGTGATTCTTGCTCAGTCGAAAGCTTCTCGAAACGGGAGCGTAGCGACGAGACGCGAGGCGGCGGCGCGGACTCGACAGCCGTGTCTTCCGAGTCCGACATCGTCGTCGCCGAAGACGTTAACAGAACCTGATAATCGAGTTATTTGTGTATGTTCTGCACATGAATTGTCGGGAACGGCGGGCACGACGAGCGGAATGGAAGGCAGCGTTGAAAGTGGTGAGAACTGGACTTAGGATTCTCAGTTACAATTGCGCCACCTGCGGCCCACGCGAGCGACTCCCACGACCTGCGAGCCGCTTTGTTTGACTTTGAGTCTTCGCTCCTTGGGTGCTCCGCCACTTGTCCGTCACTGCAGAGGAATGGAGGCACGTCGGGCACCACCGCTTCCATACTTATCCAGTCCGTAGTCTATACTTCTTCACTTTCTTATTGAATGCCAGGAGTAGTACTCCTTTTATTTGATATTGGAATTGGACAACAATAATGAGGAGGTATTCCAATCCCGACTGATACTGACACGCCGGGAGCCCACCTCGAGAGTCCCAGATGGCTGACTTGGACCGCGCCAGCCATCCGGGATCTTGATCTGGTCAGCCTGAGCAGCAGTTCGGAATTGAAGAGGTAAATAAATACGCTCTTTGTCTGACAGCGCAGCCTCCGTCCCCGCCGATTGACACCCACTGACATCTATCCTCGCGGAACCGAGCGCCAACGCAGACGCTGACAACATGGTACTCGTGCTTAGGAACATAGGCAGCCACGCTTCCATCGAGTTGCCGACAAGCACACCTGGAACATCGTGTGACGGGGAGGTCGGCTGTATCTACGCCACCTCGGGCTTGAGACGGGAACAAGGGCAACTTGAAGCAGCAACAGTCCATAAGACCCCCACGTCCTTGGACGCCGCGATCCTCGAGAAGGTCAAGGCAGCTTCCGGGAGCATGTCAATGACGGGGATCGGCCGCGAGGTATGTGACGTCTTCACCTGAGTATGGTATAAACGACAGGCTGAACGATACGTAGATGATACCTACTAGAATTGAGCGCTGCCTTAACGCACCCACTCATTCTCACTGGGATGCGCACCCGAACGTGAACGTCCCGTCGTCGCCCACCATCGCGGAACTGGATGCGCGGGACTCCTTCCCGCTACTGTGCATCCTATCTGCCTCATTATCCGAGGACAAGGTTCCTGAACCAGAACCCCTGCCCGTTCCACCGACTTCAGCAGTCGTGGCGGCTCCGACCCCCACCCGTCCCGTCGCCACACCATCGATGTGGCGCATGGCAGACCGCCCTCCGCCACTGTCGTTATCGCGGACGTCCTCTTCGGGTACGGCGTCAATAACATCATCGGGACCCGTTACGCCGATGGACCCCAACCCGCCGGGGCCTCATGTGCTGCACGTCGCCACGCCCGGCAGTTCCATCCCGCTTCACTCCTCCAAATCCCCAATGCCCTCTGCCACACCCGTCGTCAACCCCAATCTCAAAACAAACCCTCCTGCACCGCCTAAGCCGAAGCCCCTCCCCGCGACGCTCGCGCCCTCGCCCTCACGCCCGCTTTCCCTCAAGGCGCAGCAGTCCCTCGCGCAGTCAAGGATCGATACGATCCTGTCCGCGACGCTCGACGCATACGACGTCGCTCAAGCACACATCGACGAGGTCCTCCGGAAGTATGAGGCACGGCGGCAGGAGGGACTGGTTAGGCTGGCGGCGGCGAGGGGTGAGGCGGGGGCCGGTGGGGTGTAACTGGTTATTGGAGTTGTTGGATTGCTTTCAGACTTATATTGCTTTGTATTATCCTTTGTACCTCGCCTTGTTCCGTCTCCATCAGGCATATATTCAGACGTCCGTAGTATTATCTCAGTACTAGTCGTTCTGCGTATCTTTTATTTGAAGTGCGATCTAAGGACGTCGGATGTACATGTGCTGTTCCGACGTGCTCGGACTCCGAGGAGGTCGGTCGCCAGCGACGCGAACCAAACCACGCCACACCGGGTAATGGTTCCGCGCTTCTCCCAGGCTATCGTCCAATCATGTACATCAAAATGCAGGGTAAAGGGTCTGGTTCCTCACGCTGATTCAGCCAGACAGCGCTTAGCCCTCGAACGAGCTTCGAATTCGAGCCACTTGACCTCAGGCGCCCATCCGGGGATACACAAGCCTCGTGCATCAAACTTCGCACAAAAGCGCGCGTGAGCTCCTTCCTCATTTGGACTTCGATCCAGTTACGAGATCTTTGTGGGTCCACATGTAACCCTAAATTTAGCTTCTCTTTTGGCCTTGGAAGGTCAAAGCGCAGCGCAGTACAAGGGACAAAGGCACTTCGTCCCGCGATAGGTCGGTGATTTGGACGATAATCGATGCTGTGAAATGTCACGCGATTGTTCCCTGACTTCTGGGGGCCCGGGCGAAATGTATAAAGAGGGCGGCTGATGTGCCATCGTTCGACTAGGGCCTCTCGTCCCCTCCCCCCATCCGTTCTCAATCCCCTCAGGCGACCTCGTCGGACTTGCCCTGCTTCTCCTTTGCTGACCTCTGCTTTGCAACCTGACCTCATCTCGTCGACCATAGGAAGGGTCTATGCCACGTCAAGGTGAGTGGCATCCACATCTTATTTTTTCCTTTCGTGTGGCGAGGCAGTTGAATCTATCGCGCATACGCAAAAATATTAAGTACTGACCTTGCCATACAACAGCCGTTCAAGTCTTCTGAAAGTCGGCCTCAATCTTGCGTCAAGTGCCACCGACTTGAACCTCAATCGCCGAGCCACATCAAGTCCCAACCACCCGGCGCCCTTCAAGATCCTCGCCAGACGTCAAGCGACTCCCTCAGGCTCTAGACCCTCTGATCCTCAAATTCGCACCTCAACACCCTCGGCCGCTCATCAAGACTCCTCAGGAAGCTCGGTAGCACTTCAAGCCGCATCAAGTCTCTTCAAGTTTCTGCGGCGGCTCATCAAGTTTCTTCGACGGCGGCTCATCAATTTTCTTCGACGGCGGCTCATCAAGTTTCTTCGACGGCTCCTCAAGTTTCCTCGACGGCTCCTCAAGTTTCTTCGACGGCTCATCAAGCCTCTTCAACGCCTCATCAAGTTTCTTCGACGGCTTCTCTCTGGCGACTGTCTGTTCCTCTGGGCTCGCTCAAGTCGATATTCAAGACCGGTTGGACTCTCCTCAACATCGTTGAGTGTCAAGACTCTTCAAGACCGTAGGCGAACCCTCAAGACTCCTCAAGACCCCTTGGCCGTCCCTCAAGACTCCTGAAGACCACCAGGCGTCCTTCAAGACTACCCAAGACACTCTTCAAGCATTGGTTCAAGTGTCTCCAACGGCTCATCAAGCTTCCTAGTCTCGTGTACTTCTAGCTTCCCTGTTATATCTCTCTCTGCTTCGTTTAATATTATCTCTGGCGTTGCTATTGCTGGGTGTTCTGTGTGTTTGTCCTGGACTTCAAAGCAATCGAAGAGTTTAAGGATCAAGACCGTGTGTGACCGGCCCATCATCAAACCCCTCGTCAACGTTATCAAGTCCTTCAACGAACTTAGTCATTAATCGGGCAAGGATTCAGCCTCTTTGTCCTCTATCTGACCGCCGTTTCTTTTACAGTGCAGTCACCATCACCAGCTTGATAGCTACACCCGCGCGGTTCACGCTTGGTGTGTTTTAGTCGTTCGTCTCTTGCTTATGTCTTGATCTCGTCTTTGTCGTGCAGGCAGGTCACCATGCTCAGTCAGAGCCAGTGCGACGGGACTCACCTCCCTGCACAGGGTATTGCCGCACGGCGGGCCTACCAATGTCGAGTGATTCTTCGGAATCCTATAATTTTTTCCGCATCATTCTCCTTCGGGAGAATGGCACACCTTTTTTTGGGTCACTGCCATGAAAGGACGTACTGGCCATGGGTGGTTGCAGAGTGGTGCAAAGTAAGCAATTTCTGTATTTGTCGAGAGCGCTGAGCTATTTGAGGGCCGTCGTTGGCCGGCGGATGGGTGCTGCTGACGAGCTTCTAACGAGCTCATGATCTCTGGAGTGCCCGACATTTCAGCCTCCCTCCTTTGTTACGGTTTTGCGTTTCTCTCGTTGTCTCTCTTGCGTAGCCCTGCTGTGCCACCGTTTGTCGTCGTGTCAAGATTCTCCCGTAAGAGTCAAGACCGTCTGGTCCTCAAGTCTACACTGCAAGACGCTTGGATGCTCTTCCAGACACTCCAAGACACTCGGCCGTCATCAAGAAACCTCAAGTCTTTCTTTAAGCACGTCCAAGTGTCTCCAGCGGCTCATCAAGTGTCTCTGACGGCTTCTCTCTGGGCGACTGTCCGTTCCTCCGGCTTGCCCAAGAGGATCTTCAAAACCACCGTGGAGCCCTCTCATGGCCCCACTCGGACCTTCACTCTTCAAGGCTCTCTGCTGGCCCTCAAAACAATCTTCAGGACCCTAGGCGGACCGTGAAGAACTCTATTCAAAACTCCTTGGTCGTACCTCAAGAATTTTCCTCAAGGCCCCGGTCGCCTTTCGATCCCCTTCAAGACCCTCCTTAATTCTTTAAGCGTTTTCGACGCCTCATCAAGTATCTGGGCTGGTGTACTTCTAGCTTTCCTCTTACGTCTCTCCGTTCCGTTTCAATTGAATATTATCTCGCTTGTCTGTTGGTCGACCGTCGATGGTCTCTCTGCTCCATGCTGGACTTCAAGGGAATACTAGACTCTAAGAGTCAAGAAGCGTAAGGGCCGGTCGATCATCAACCACGCTACCGTCATTGCTCGGGCAAGATTCCGCTCCTCTCTCCACTATTTGACCACCTTTTCTTTCACGGCCTATCACCACCTGTTCCCGAGAAAGGATCATAAGCGCTATGTTTGGGTACGTTCTAGTGACTCGTCTCGTCCCCTTGCCTTGACTTGACTTCGCACATCTCTTTTACGCCAACGCCACGAACATCCTCTTCAAAGGAGTCAGTGCGACGGGGCTCACTTTCCTGCACTGGATATCGCCGTAGTCTTTCGAGACTCGGATCTAACGATCTCGAGAGATCCCTCGGAATACTCCTCCATAATTTTTTCCATACATTCTCCTTCGGGAGAGTGGCACATCTTTTTCATCTTCTCGTTATGATCGGGGGTGCGGGGGGCGAGTAAGGATAACGTGGAGGTGAGTGTCGCCCATTCTTTTATGAGAGCCTTGTGCTCTTCGCAGAACCGTCGTTGGCCGACGGATGGGTGCAGCTGAAGAGTCCCGTTTATTGAGGCCACTATGTCGTGGAAGACGCCTGCTGTTGTTTGTATCTTGGTCCATTCCGGCGCTTTTCCCTCCCTGGTCGCTTCCCTGTGCCACCGCATGCCAATACTCCCTCTGGCTGGACGTCCCTTAAGCTTGCGGAGCTCGGCGGAAGTCATTCCTCTCGGATGCTTCACTCGGTTGGTACTGGTGATGCTCTTCTGTCGTTCTCACTCGTTGGTACCCGCAATACTGGTTTACCGTGGCCGACTTGCTATAATGCCGCACCGTAAAGGAGGCCTTCGGGTTGGGCGCTCTCAAGGCACTCCGCCACACGATCTCGGTCGGGTATGACATCGTGTTCTCTTCCTTCAGTCCTCGATTGAAAGGAATCTTGTTCGACTATTTCAAAATACTACGTCGCTATGAAGACTTGCCCCGTAACCGTGGCCTTCCTGCACTTGTTTTGTTCACTATGGTCGTGCTTTTGTCCCGAACTTTGAAGGGGGTGCCTCTTCGACTTGAAACCGATCGTGCTACCTGCCCGTTGTGAAGCATTAGTTCTAACGCATCGTGCGCACCTTGCTTGTCCGTGGCGAGGCACTCACACTGTGTCTCTGGATAATTCGGTTCAACTGTTACGGCTGTACGTGGATATGCTTTGCGAGCAGGTCGGCGATCCCATCACCCATGGATGATACTTTGTTGTTGGGAATATAGCCTGTGTGTCATCTTGGTCTCGCTGTCTTTTCTGTATCTTTGTGCTCCGACAAGTACTCTCCTCTGCATCAACTTGAAGTGCGTGGTTCACGCCTTGCCTTGAATCTTCTGATCTGCTGTCTCCGCCAGGTGCTCTCTTCTTTCGTTGCTTAAGCTGGATCTCTCTTGGGACCCCTGGGATCCTCCATGTAATCGACTCTCGTGTTCGTCTCGGAAGGTCTTACCATCGCAGGCTGCGCCTTAGTCTTCGCTCTTGCATTCTGGAAACCGTCACTGGGACGTTCGGTTCGGGCTTCCTCAAGTTCGCGGAGTGGGTCACCGTTTCAGGGGTCCCGTGCAGTTCGTGCAAGGTGGTCACGTTCTGGCGTGAAGTGAGCTGCGCGCTTCCTTGGTGGCAGTGAACGTCGACAGACGCGGACCGGCTCTTCTTACTGGCTATACCTACGCTGTTCATTTCGTCGTTACACACTCGACTATCAAGCTGCGCAGGCGGACTTGACAACTTCGGACTTGTCAGGCCCCACTGAGAGGTAAGAACTAACTTGTGGCTGTCAATCAGATGTTACTACACCTGTTGCTTCAAGTTCTCTCCCTCGATGACGCATCTACTGTGCTCGCTTTGGGTATCCCACCACCTCGCGCTCCGGACAGCGCTCTCTTTCCTGCTTTCCTGTAGCCTCGTTGGTTCATAGCTACACGTGTGCTCAGCTCGCATTCAGGTAGGATTCCCAGTCTGCCTTGCGAGTTATGTTGAGTGCCTTGGCAAACGACCTCCGAATGGACGAAGATCGCTCCCTTCGATGGTGGACTCTGTCTCTTCGAGCCGCAAGCGGATGACCAGTGTATCTTCGCGTGAAGCTCTCGCGTAGCCTTTCCCCCTCCTCGCCGGTTTGCCGACATGTCTGGAGTACACTCAGTTCACTTGCGCATTCTACTGCCGCGACTATCTTCCACGGGCGCTGCACCGGTCCATGACTCCTTGGCGTCAGCATGTCACTACGACTTCTGGGCGTGTACCTTCAGCCAGTCCCGCCACCCCTACGACCAGCGACGGGAGGTTGCGACGCGGCAGGTATCTATGGTTGCTTATCATGACGACTCCTTTAGAACCTGAACAAGATGACCTGCCTTCCGAAAGAAACACTATCGGCTCCGCCTCCTCTGATACCTGAACTGGGTCCGTCGTTCAGCTCCACGCTTCAGCGCATAGCAAGCCTGGCTTGGAAACTGTTTTTGTCACCCGTAATGCTCAGACCGCTACGACTGGATATCTCTGGAGACTCTTCAGAAGCGACGCCCCCAGCAAATTTCTATAGTCAGCCAGCCCTTTCCTTTTCCCATTCCCCTTTCCCGGTGAACTATCACTGTGGACGCCGTGATGGGAAATGGGAAGGGATATCTTCTTTCCCATCTTGCCACTGACCCATGTTATGTTCTACTGTCTTCAAGTTGGGAATAATACACTACCGCGTGATGCTGCATCGTGAGGGTTGACTGATCGTGGTGGCTGACCACGGTGGTGCTGACCGCTGCTTATGCGCGCCGTCTCTCGCGGATATGAGCCGTGGAGTCCCGGTATAAGTCGCTGAAGCTACTGAATAGTATTGTTGTCCGTCACCCCCTCTAAATCATTAGCGTCGTGTCCGGCCAGGCTAAGAAATCGACCTACTCACTGTCGCCTTTGAAGCTTGATTCTGCCCGTATCTTTGGCGTATCCTCGTGCAGAGGCGACACGTTCTGATAGAGCTGTCAATAAACTCCTCTTCGTCTGATTAGCAAGGAGACTTGTATGCGCCGACTTGATATTGTGAGAGTTATGCAGACCCGAAATATTGTTAACGAGGACGCGTGACGCGCGGATTCAGATGCCATCGAGGGCGAATGCACGTGACCGCGTGTCGTACCTTTGTCGCTAAATTAGGGAGACGCGTTAGCGCCCGTGCGAATAGAGCCTGCCATAAGTGTTTCAGCTGTCTCTTTCGACGCGTCCCGTGGCGCACACGCCCTCGACACGAGGCAGTCCGAATAACTGTAAATGCCGCAGTCGACATTGAGGACGGCGACGGCGATGGACTCGCGCAACACCGTCCGGCGATTCAAGGATCCGATTCATGATTACAGTACGTGTCCCTAGCATCGTGGCTTACCATCGCATTTAAGAGCCATTCGCTCGCGTCTTAGTTTCTGTATGCGCCAAAGTCAGCGCTTTTATTGATACGTGCGTGCCAGTATGGGCGAGGCGACGTTGAGATGCTGAGCTGACATCTGTCTTGACAGGCGGCAATTCCAGCGCCTTCGAATGATTAAGCAACTTGGGACGTCTTACTATGTGTGGCCGGGAGCATCGCACAATCGCTTTGAGCATTGCTTAGGTACGAAATGACCTGTTACTTCGAGAGAATATCGCTCCAACTCCGCCTAATGCAGGCGTGGCGCACCTTGCTCGCCTGATGGCCGAACATCTACAAACTCATCAACCAGAACTGGAAATTACGGACAGAGACGTCAAGTGCGTGGAGCTCGCAGGGCTATGTCACGACCTCGGACATGGCCCCTGGAGTCATGTTTGGGACGGACAGTTCATCCCGAGGGCACTGTACGTCTCTCTTCTCTTCTTATTTTCCGGTGTTTGATAGCGGTTATAAGTGAAGGGAGTACATGGACGCATGAGGAGGGCTCGGAGATGATGTTCGATGATATGGTCTCGAGTAATCGTATTGATATCTCAGAAGCAGACGCCGAGTTCGTGAAGGCGCTCATCGCCGGAGATTCGAAGCGATGCGGGTGAGTGCGCTCGTGATTTGTGCGTATCAGTCATTGAAATTGGGGTAGCGGGAAGGAGAAACCCTTCTTGTTTGAGATTGTCGCAAACAAGCGGAACGGCATCGACGTCGACAAGTATGCGCAGCGCCTATCATGTATTGTCCCGGGTTCTGATGGCTTTGGTGTTGCATATAGATTTGATTACATTGCGCGCGACTCGCATGCCATCGGCGAGAAAGGTAACATCTCCCTCACAAGGTCTGCTGAGTACAAACACATCGGCGAACATGCTGATTCACATATCCCAATAGACTGATTCACTCAGCACGAGTCATCGACGACCAGATTTGCTACGACATCAAAGACGCCAACCAACTGTACGAACTATGCTACACCCGTTTCAGTCTACACAAGCGGATATACAACCATAAAACCGGTGGGTATTTTTGTCAGATAAAGTCTCCCGGGGTGCGCTGATTGCATCGGCGTCTAGCCAAGGCCATCGAGTATATGATCATCGACGCGCTGCTCGCAGCTGAGCCGCATATGAAGATCGCGGAGCAGGTATTCGATCCCGAAAGATACGTCTACCTGACCGATGACCTCATGCCTCGGATCGAGATGTCGCGAGACCCGGTCGGTGGTTAATTTTAGTGTCAGACAGGTGTACTGATCTGTCTCTACTTAGGAACTGAAGGAATCGCAGGCGATATTCGACCGGATCCGCACACGGGATTTATACAAATGTGTCGACTACAAAGTGTTTGAATGGGCGTACAAGGACATCTGCGAGCAGCACATCACGCCCGAGAAGATCGTGGAGGCCGCGAAGAATCTAACCAACTCGCCCAGCACCCCCCGCCCGCACTCCGACGTGGACATCGCAGACTCTCCCCGCCGGGACGCACCATTCGAGCTCGACGAGCTCACTCCCGGCCAGGTCATTGTCGACCTGACGAAGATGCATTATGGGATGAAAGACAAGAACCCACTGGACAGTATCAAGTTCTATTCGAAGAACAATCCAGGTCGTATGTGTCGATACCTTGTTTGCCTATCCGTAATATACTTGATGATCATTTAGGCTGTGAAACGGCTGGTCCGGGAGACGTGTCCCTGCTTATGCCAAGCGTGTTCGGCGAGGTTCTCCTGCGTGTCTATACCAAGGATGAGCGGTGAGTTTTCGTCCTACCGCTGCTGCCATCCATGGGGCTGATATGTGACGTGTAGGTTCTTCGGTATTGTCCAAGCGGGATACCGGGCCGTCCTTGCTGAAATGCCAGAACTGGATCCAGCTGGCGAAGCGGCCCCTCGCACCCAAGCCGCAGCGGGCACGAACGCAGGAATCACCACATGGAGCGGTGACCGCGATCTCTCGGTCAGCTTCCGCGAAGGTACGCCTCCGCCATCGGACGCTACTCTCCCCGTCACGCCGGGTTTCCAAACGCCGCCGCGTGCGTCGAGCACCTCGACCTTGACATCTGTGAGGTCGTTCGGCAGGTCACAGAGTGGTCCAGTTGGGATGGGCTTGAGCGCCGGGAGGACGATCTCTGTGCGGGACATCAACCACTTCACGACGGTCCCGAAGAACTATGTGCCCAAGTCGCCTACACATGGGCACAAGAGGAAGAGGTCGAGGGCGGATACTAGTGTGGATGCAGGTGCCGAGACCGAAGCGACTCCAGCGAAGAAACGATGAGCGACATCGCGCGGACTCGCGAACCGCTATTGCGGATCTATTTATTTCATGTTGTTCCTCGTCGTGCTCGCCAATTGCTGTCCTGCATGCTCAGTGCTTATGGTAGTCTTTCATATCTTTAATCGGGGTGGCACCTATAGACAATTGCATCCATAGACAGTTTCTCTCCAGGTACCTATGCGGAATCAGAACACTAGGATTGTTACGCTGACATTATTTGATATGAACTTGTACGATGAGATAGAGATCCGACACGAACGGTCGGATCAACTTACCGCTGAACATCATAGGAGGTGCAGTGAAGCTCACGAAAGCAACTTCAGTTGAGGTGACAAGCGGGAGAGGTAGTATACAACCCTTTGCAAGGACTGTTGCGTGGACTGAGCATTCTCGTGGAGCCCCTACCCGTTTGTCTCCCCCTCATCAGGTATTGTGACACTCACACACTGACACAGGTGGAAAAGTGGACGGAGGACGATCAACAAGAGCAAGGAAAGTACGCATTATCACTGGCCATGGGGTAGCTGTTTAGCGTCCAAATAGGTGGAAGCAGACCAGCACAGCCGTGTGGCGCCGAGGAGGAGCATTATACGAATGCTCGAACTTAAGGCTTGCGGGAATGAAACCCTAGGCCGAATGCCGAACAGGTACGAAGATGATGGAAAACGACGAGTTTGGCTACCGTCCCTCATATAGGCGCCTTGTTCATATGGCCGGCGAAAGCTCCGTGCGCTAGCAGTCAGACGAGACAGCAGTACGATCTTCATAGGCAGACAGTAGCACAGATCCAGACGAGGACCAGACTGTGCGAGGTCTGGGGAAATATACAACGACATGGCAATAAGACCGCAGCTAGAATTCGACACAGGCAGGGAACAGAGAAGGACCAAAGGCGGAGAGGAGACATCAGTGAGTGTCGCTCGTAATGCCGACGAGAAACATGCCTCTGGGCAAGTATGGCTGCATAAAGAAGCGGTGGAAGGTAAACCTGGACACGGCCGGCAAATCAGAATGGAGAGTTGATGCGCAAAAAGCATTGTCCAGAAAGACTCTTTCTGGACAATGTTTTTGCGACTCGGAGTCGGAGAAGTCCTGAAACAATCCATTTCTGGAGGGTCGGGAGGCGATGCCCAAGGAAACAGCCAGAGCAAGGTTGACGACAATGTGACTGAATAAACTGAAGCTGAGACGAGAGGGAACAAAGGAGAACCTAAAGAAGCCAGAGTGTTAACTATATAAAGCTGAGATAAAGTATGACTTGACGGATTGAGGAAGGTGTGCACCACCGTCCATCGCAGACTGGGACGCGACGCGATCTGAAGGAAGATAGTCACAGATAACCAAGGCAAGGCAGAGAAGCGTCGACTAGACAACAACTTGAATAGTATCAGAATTCCGCGGTAGAGGTATGATGCAACGAGACAAGCCATGTCAAACGCCACGGCAGGTAACACCGGAGAGAGCCATCGAGTACCGGCCGGACGAAAATACAGGTGGCTGGGCCGGGTTTTAACCTCGAAGGCATAATCGGAGCTTGGAGAACAACCCATGAGGCGAGAGCCTTAGGGGCCACGATACTCTAGGGAGTAACGAGAGCAATCCAAGACCGAGGCGAGGGAGAAGAGCACTCCATGGCGTTACGCAGCCGACAATCACTAGAGCCTATATACCTTACCAAGCGGAGTACTTGCACTCGATCCCTCGTTCGACCCTCGCAACCATATTCCGGAGGAGTTCAGATAATGCCAATAGATGCACGAATAGAGGGGACGCCTGGAAGCGGGCTGGCGAGAGCCTAAAGTACGCGAGATTAGATGGCAAAGAATATCTGGTGGCGTCCAAGAGAAGGGTCACCGGCACAGTGGCAAGAACCGCACATATGTTTTTCATAGTCGAAGGGAAGGATTTACAACAATAGTGTGCCACATGCGCTAAGTATTGCAAGAGCGAACGGCCTTGTGCCGCAAAGTAATGCACGGAATCCAATTAGAGCCAAAACTTGACGACCAGCAGATACTGGGTCTGACTAAGGCAGGGATAGAAGCACGGCCGTAGAAAACCGGTGCGAGTGAAGAACCAGAGCCACTGAACTGGTCTCGACAATGGCAGACTAGCTTGAAGAGGTTGCCCCAATCCAACATAAGACCAGCCTGTGAGTATGCGAAGTGCCTTGACGGCCCCGAACCCGAAGAACATGGTTCGGTGTTAGCCAAAGTCTGAGTCGACACAACGTGGGAATCACAGGATGCCTGAACCGCGCGAGCGAATGAAACAATCCACAAGCAGATCGTCGTCAGTATACACCATAGAAGAGATCCTAGCAGAGAGCATGCGGCGCAGGTCTTGCCATGGCAGAAGACGTCGCCAGCGATCAATTGAATGGTGGCATAGAGAAACGCCTGACGACCCGCTATTAGACCCGGATGAAGGAGGGCAGTCTGGACAATGTCCGACGCTCGAAAGGTCGAAGACACATTAGCAGCATTCATCCGTCGGCCAACGACGGTCTCCAGAGCTCAACGCTCTTGATGAACATGAGGTACTCACATATGGTAGCCTATACTTGCTCTTTTCACGCCGACACCGACCATGACGAGAAGATGGAGAAAGATATGCCATTCTCCCGAAGGAGAATGATAAGGAAAAAATTATGGAGTAGAGTATTCCGAAGAATCTCTCGTATCGTTTATTCCGAGTCCAAGGATATACGGCAATACGCAGTGCAGGAAAGTGAGTCCCGTCACACTGACTCCAATTGAGACGATGACCGTGGCGGAGATGGTGCTCGTGGCGTTGACTTGAAGCAGATATTTGAGGTCAAGACGGTGTAGAAGACAAGCAGCTAGCACGTACCAAGCGTAGCACCCAAATCATGGATGACAAGCGGTGGGTCATGGGGCTGTGGAAGAAACGACGGTCAAATCGTGGTGAGAGAAACGAAATCTTGCCCGAATGACGGTGTTCAGGAGGACTTGATCGTTGACTGGTTGATAGTTGATAAACTGGGCGCTTGCGGCTCTTGACCTTCCTGCTTTCGGCGCTCTTGCATTACCTTGAAGTCCAGCACGTAACCATGGAGAAACAGCCAAGCCAGAGATATTATTGAACAAAGCAGAGGGGTGTATAAGAGGAAAGCTAGAGGTACACGAGAGTAGGTTCTTGATGAGCCGCGGGAGACGCTTGAAGTAATGCTTGAAGGATGTCTTGATTTGTCTTGGGGAGCGCGTAATGCTTGAAGAATGTCCTGATTTACCTTGAGGAGCGCCAGATGGTCATGGAGAGAGTATTGAGGGACGGCCAACAGGTCTTGAAGATGTTGAGGGTCCACGGATGTCTTGAAAGGAGCATTGAAGGTCTCCGAGAGTCTTGAATGTCCGCGGAACATCTTGAAGATTGCCTTGAGCCACAAGAACAGACAGTCACCAAAGATACTTGATGAGCCGTCGGAGACACTTGAAGGGGATGCTTGAGGAGCATCTCGACTCTTGAAGGGCGTCCGAAAATCCTGGGAGGCGTCCGAGGGGTCTTGTGAGGTCTTGAGGGTCTTTATGTATGACGTTGAGGACCAGAGGGTCTTGATTGTGGTTGGCACTTGATGTGGCGCGCTGCTGGAGGCAGGATTTCGGAAGACTTGAACGGCTGTTGCAACCGAATAGTCAGTACAACGTATCTTGGGACGCGACTGGCAGAGATAATGGCCTCGCCACACGGGTAAAAGTAGATACGATGTGGACTCCACTCACCTTGACATTGAATAGACCCTCCCGAAGGTCGACGAGAGGAGGTAAAACGGCAAAGCAAAGGTAAGTAAGGGGAAGCAGGACTAGTCCGAAGAGATCGGATGGGAGAAATGTAGAAGAGGTGGGGGGAGGGGACGAGGGGCCCTGGTGGAACGGTGGCACACCACCCACCCTCTTTATACCTTTCGCCCGGGCCCCCGAGATCAGGGAACCGGGGTCTCACGTTTCACAGCATTTCTTATCGTACCCATCGACGACCTATCGCGGAACGAAGTACCCTTGTGCCCTTGAAGTGCCACCGCCTATGTTGCGTCTTGGCCTTCTGAACCACAAGAGTTCCTAAATTTAGGCTACATGTGGACCCACAAAGTGAAATGAAATAGCACCCGAGTGACACCAAAAGCGAGATTCCTTAGACTTGGGACTACGCCCCAAGACGCGAGACCAAGGGGTCTTGAAAACCTTATTTTGCCACCCCACCTGAACGCCCCCCCTGGGTACCCCACCTCGTCCCCCTTGACTTCAACGCTCGAGCATCGGTCTACATACAGTACACGTCACCGCCTACACTAGTATAATAAGGCCGTCCGCTACTCTGCTCGACACCCCGTCCTCGCTGTCTTCCCCGTCGACCACCATGCCCTTGCCGCTTCCGGCCGCGGTCCGGGTAGAAGTCTGGTAGCAAACCCCAACCCTAGGGTGTACCGCCACGGGTCAGGTGACAACGCCAGCGTCGGCGCCCGGCGTGTTGTCGCCGCCCGCTTTAGGCCTGTCGTCGTTGTCGCCGACGATGAGCATGGCTGTAGCATTTGTATGTAGTCGTAAAAATATGGAATAAATCTCATTAAATACACAAAATTCGTTTGATGGATTTGACATGTATGCGCCGCCACTTACACGCTCCGATCGAGCGTCGTCGCCGTCAGGAATGTCGTGCTCACTGTGCTCAACGGCGGCGGCCGATCGCACCGTATAAAGCCTCAAAAAAATACGATAAATTCATAGCATATTGCTATTACATGCTGTCTCGTGTTAAATGCCCCTCTATGCATATACAACGTTCAGATATGCGGATACAATGTCCAGATATGCGAATACTCACCTATGTCCAAGGGTATATGCTGCAAAATGCA